TAGTAAATTGCTAAGTTATTTATTCTAGCTTAATTCTTCTGTTATTTAAAAAATATTTTCAGTATTATCTAAGTATTTATATTAATAGCTAAGAGAATACTATTCCTTATTTATATTCCGAGTTATAATGCTTAGTATAAATAATAAGAAATAATAAAGAATATTATTACTAAGTTCTTCCTTTAATACTTAAATGCTTTATTTAGTAATATTGAAATAATTCAAGTTGCTGCTACTTATAATTATGCTAAGCGTATACTCTTGCTCTTTTATTACTATCTGCTTATAGCGCCTAGATTTCTAAAAGAACTATTCTAAGCCTTTCTTACTTAAGAAGTATATTAAGCAGTTATTATTATAGCAGAATATCCAGCTAAGATTTCTATAATTAATAGAATTCAATACTTGCTTCAAGAGAATGTTTTTGCTTAATTGATTAGATTTCTATTGCTAAGCAATATTTACTTAACATTCTTTCTGAATTAGTTGCTATTTGTTCTTTCGAAATTAATAGCAGTTGTATAATATATATTCCTATTTATTGCAGTTATAGTAAGTAATATTATTTCTCTTGCTATACTGCTTATTAGCTGTATTAAGTTTTATAGAATTAGTATATATAGTGCTGCTCTAAGCTATACTGCTATATTAATTATTATTTTTATATTAAAGTTTTTTGCTTATATTAGCTAGAAATCTTCAAATCTAGCTTTCTTTCTTTCTGAATTTCTTTATTTATTATTTATACAAACAATTATTAATGCAGATTGCTTAATTAGAGAATATTACAAAATTCTCTAGCTAATTCTGCTTAAAAATCTTATTCTTAATATTATTCTTAAATTTCTTATAATAATATTTTATAAGATTTTTATTCTTCTATAGAAATCTTGCTAAGAATTGCTTAAATCTAATTATATAAGCAGAAGCTAACTTAGTCTGCTTAAGATTCATAAGTTGCTAAGCTATAATACATTCTTTATTAAAATTGCTAAAGATTTCTTTAAAAGCTTTTTTAAAGCTTTTAAAGAAATTAAATATATTCTTAATATTCTAAATATATATATTGGAATTATTCTAATGCTTCAAGTAATTATATAGAGAAAGCTTGTATTAAATAAGAATATTCTTTTTAAAATGAGTTCTTATAAGAATAGTTTTCTTAGATTCCTTAGTAAACTGAGTTGCATAATTGTAATGAGCACTGCAGCAATCCGAAGATTCCTAAGTACACGAAGAGTTTTATGCTAACAAGAGCGGTGCCAAGTACAGGCCTTGAATACGGAACACAACTGAGTAACTGTGCAAGTGTTCACTGCCTTTGGGGCTATCAGAGTAAGAGAGTAATCTGATACTTAGATTGACAACTGAAGAGCTATGTACTGTATCTATCTAATGGTAATGAACATGTTCTTATATATCCGGCTCTTCAGTATGGCTTACCTTGGCTCACTACTGATTCAGGTGATCCAGGTTCACTGGATCATCTAATGATCCAGTGATCCATCCCTGTCGTAACCCTAACCCTGAGTTGTGTAATCAATGTTTTAGTCAGAACGTTGGGTTCTTGACACCTGGTCCTTGTTACTCGTGACCTGTTCCGTGACCTGCATGTTGGATGGGTCATAACAATAATGCAAAAAGTATGCTCTGCAGTAGATAAGAAATTCATATAGTATCTTTTAATTGCTATTATATATAGCAAGCTTATTCATTTTGTATACTTTCTCAGTATTACTAATAATTATAAAGATAAACTATATCTGCTAAGCTTATTAAGCTAGCTAAGCTTGCTAATTAGTAATAGTAGCACTCTAAGTTTGCTATTAGTTGCACAGATCCTAAATATGCTGAATAAGCTAGTATATCTGATTAATTAGTTCTTTCTAAGTAGAAGCATATAAGAATAAAGAGAATTTCTGAAAAGCTATTGTATTTCATATTGCTTAAGAGAATAATACTGAACTATTCTTGAACAAAAATTATTAAAATATAATAAGTATTGCAGTAATTCGAAGATTCCAAAGTATATAAAGAATTTATACTAACAAGAGCAGTACTAAGTATAAGCTTTGAATATAGAAATACAATGAATAATTGTACAAATATTCACTGCTTTTGAAGCTATTAGAGTAAGAGAGTAATCTAATACTTAGATTAATAACTGAAGAGCTATATACTGAATCTATCTAATGGTAATGAATGTATAGTTATATATCCTGCTCTTCAGTATGAATCGCTGGAATCGCTGGCGAGCTTAGCGATCCAAGGTATAAGGCTCGCTGGGATCGTTAGCGAGCTTAGCGATCCAAGGTATGAGGCTCGCTGGGATTGCTGGCGAGCCTAGCGATCCTCCCTTCTTAACAACCCTAACTCTGGGTTATGTAATTCTGCCTGGTGTCCGGCGTTGGATCGTAACACCTGGTCCCTTTGTTGGCGGGGCCTATCCTGTAACCTGCATGTTGAATGAGTTATAACAAATTGGATTAATTTGTTATTTCTTATATAGTTTGCTTATAATAATATAGATATAAGTATAATAAAGAAATTGCTATTCTTTGCATTTTATAAATATAATTTAATAGCTTATTATAAAATACTGCTAGAAGTAGATATAAAAGCTGCAAATAAGAAAGTTAAGAAAATTAAGAAAGTTTAGAAAGAATTTCAATTAGAATTATAATTTATTCAGAAATAAATAATATAATATACAAATTCTAAAAGAATTGAAAAACTAATTCTATAGAAGAAAAATAAAGCTTATCTACTTTAGAAAAATATTAAAATAACTAAGCTTAATAATAAACTTAATTATAAGAAGTTAGAATTATTTAAAATCTTGCAATAAATTTCTTTAATTAATTATAAACTAATATTATTTTATAAAATAAAAATATATTTAGTTTTTTATATCTTATTATTAGAACTAGCAATATAGAAAATATTAATAAATAATATAGCAGAAATAGAAAATAATAAATTAGAATATAAGATTGAAAAGATTTTCAAATATAAAAGTATAAATAATATATAAGAATATCTTATTAAATAAAAAGATTATTTAGCAAGTAAGAATTTATAGGAATTATAAGAAAATATTGAAAATATTTAAGAAAAAATAGCTAAGTATTAAAAGAAAAAAACTAGTATCTAAAATGATTACTTTACTTCGAACTGAAATCTAGAAGCTTCAGAAGCTTTACTCTTTAGAAAACTAAACTAGTTTATTATATTATTCTCTATATTCACAAAATTCCAATTAAATCTTTTAAGAAAGAAATCTGTACTAGCAATAGCAGATCTCTTAGCTATTACAAACTATATCTCAGCAGCAGCATAAGCTCGCTTAGCCTTAGCTTCTTCTGCTTTCAAGTATTTCAAATCTTAAAGATTTATTAACTTATAACAAATAGTTTACGCTATCTTTTCCCTTTATATTCTCTTTTAAGCTTGCATGCAGCTAATCTTTATATTAAGAATCCAGTACTTCTTCTCGAAATCTTTAATCTCATTTTCTAGTTTTTGATACTAAGAAGAGATATAAAGGAGATTTAACGAATTTATTAATTCAAGAATATTACATTTGAAATGCTAATAATGTATATATTCAGCATAATAAGAAGAATTCTCAGAAAATATTTAATAAAACTTTAGATTTTATATATTACAGAAAGAATAAGAAATTATATTAACAGTCTTAGAAAGAATAATAGAATAAAGAAATTTCTTCTATTTTAATTTATTAGAATAAGAATTAAAAGATTTCAGTTTTTCAACTCTACTGAATATTTTAATTAGAAAAGCATAATAATGCAATAAGGAAATAATAGAAAACTTATAGAAGATTATTAGAAATAATAATTAATAAAAGAATGATAATATTATAATTTATTCAGTATGCAGATTATAACAGAGAAGTAGCATATTATTCAGAAGCAAATTCTTCAATGCTAGAAATGCAATACTAGCTTATAAAAGAATATAAATTAGAATTATATAACTAGAATTAGAATTATAATAATTATATAATTAAAGAAATTAATAATTAATTCTATTAACTAATTAAAGAAATTAATAATCAACTCTATCAACTCATACTAAAAAGCTGAATATATAAGAATATATTCATTATTACTAGATAAACTATCAGAATATAGCTCTTCAGTTATCAATCTAAGTATTTATTTATTATATACTTGAATAGCTCTAAAGGCGAATGATTAGTACTTATACGGATTACTCAGTTATATTTCTGTATTTAGTAAATTCTATTTTGATACTGCTCTTGTTAGCATAAACTCTTTGTATACTTTAGATCTTCGGATATTGCAGTGCGCTTATTACACCTTTTCAATTTTGTTCTTGTACTCAGCAAGAATTAGTCTTGATACAATCAGAGATCTACTAGCTATCTCTTCAAGCCTGTTTTCTGCTTATGTTATTGTGATTTCGCTTAGCTTTCGTATCAGGTGTTCTAATAATTTTCTTATACAAATCAATGATTTGAATTAGAACTAATTAGATAACTAATAAAGATATAACAAAATTTTCTATACGAAACCTATAATAATTTTTAATAGCTATAAAATGGATTTTTTTTTTTCAGTCTTATACATAGTAAAATACAAATTTTTTGAAATTTTGTTAGTATTATAACTCATCCAACATACAAGTCAAGAAACAGGCCAAAGGCTACGGAACGGATAAAGAAACCAGGCGGCTAGATCCAACACTAGGCGGTGGCCTCAAAGACGGTGAGGGCACGCGCTCTAGCGTTTAATTGTTGCGTGCGAGATATGTTTTTGTCCAATGACGTTGGCGGCTTCGAACGATCCGCCCCTGTAGCCCCTAACCCTGGGCTACGTAATCCTTGTCTACATCGGGTCCCTTCATGGAGTGAGCTGAGTCAGCAGGGAGGATGCAGCAATTTTATATCCCCTCATTTCCCCAACTACCAGCCAGCCCCTTGCTTTTACACCACCACCGCAACCACCACATTACAACATCTCTACCACACAACGAAGAACCTTCTCCTACCTTGCGTTCGGGCTGGTGCAAGCCGGTGCTCACAACCACATCATTCTACAGGCTTCTACTCGAGCGCCCACGGCCGCCGAAAGACCCTGGATGTGTTCTCTCGCGTGAAACTGGATCTTGCGGTGCTACACAGGGTAGGAAGAGACGATTTGTTGTGCGCCCTCTTGTTTCCATCCCTTCTGGCCTATCTTTTCCCCATCACGCCTACCATTCCCATCAATCCTGGATCGACGCGTCGACGCTCTCAATCGGAGTCAAGGCTGCTCCTCTCGATTTCAGAATACATCTAAGAGAAGAAAGCCTGGGCGGGTGGGATCTTCTGGGCCCCTTTTCCTTGTCCCTCTTCTATCTCCATACGCATCTATGCTAATTTCTCGCAAGCGCTCTACATCGCAGTATTCTCTCTCTTCTGCTCCGCTCAGCCCGTATCAATATGTCGCACCTCGGCAGCTCTACGGCATCACCATCGCCGTCACCACCAGCCCATGCTGGTTCCTCGACGCAGCCCAACTCGCCTCGTTCGCCTCGTTCTTCATATGCAAGACCAACCAGTCCTGACTCCGTTGTTCAACATAACGATCCTCTGTCTCCACCGCCGCCATCTCAGGATGATCTGGATGCCTGCTCCACCTCTTCAGGGGCAGCATCCTCGAAGAGCTCTGATCTTCACGATGCTGATCTCCACCCGACCTGGCCACGGCCGCAGGATTTGAATATAACAGTTTCTGCAACGGCGAACTGGAAAGAATACAATCTAATCCAGCTCGAGCTCGATATGCACTGGCGTCCCAAGGTAAACTGTGCCTTCTTCAGGATCCACGCGCCAATCCTGTTTCCGGAACCCCCCCCCCCCCCAAGACCGGGGCCAAGCGCCGTCATAATCCCGATGATGGCGACGGCGGAGCCCAGAGAAGGTCAAGGATCTTCATCTACATCCACCCTGAACGAATCCGTGCTCTCTCTATCGCCTCGCACGAGCGGATATCCGGGCAGGATGTCCTATCTTTTACGTGGGAGCTGTCTGAGCCCCCCGTCCTCGTAGCGCCGCAGCCGTCGATGGGCACCTATGTCCATTTCGTTCCCCGGCCAGACAGCCGATCACCACAACAGCGGAATACTGCCTTTCGTTCTCTGGCAAGCCAGAAGCAGTTTACCCTTGTCGCTAATTTTCCGCTGAGAAAACTCAAACTCAGCATCGAGCAGCTAGAAATGCTCTGCAATGCAGCCACGCCAACACAGGTTCCACCAGAACCTAAGATAGGAGGACTCTGTAGTCTTGCCAAGTTCAACGATACAGCCAGCCTTTACTGGGGCCTTGGGGCCCACGTCATCGAGGGACAGAGTTTACTTACTACAGCCACGTCAGAAGATATCGAGAGACCACCCCCACCCGATTATTTCGATGTCCAAGGCCAGCCAGTTTCTAACGCTCATGCGCTGACATCCGGTACGTCTTCCATACGCAGTTTGTACTGTTGGGGTTATTGCTTGTCTATCTTCTCATTATTTGGTTTGGCCAGATGTTCCTGGTAAAAAACGCCTTCGCACCGACAGCAGCGGCTCCAGCGGTTCCTATACCCGAGGAACCCCAGACGAGGACGGCAAGCAGGACTCGACTGTCGATCCCACCATGCGCGCCCTCATCGCCCAGCTCGAGCAACGCCTTCAACAGCGATTCGATGCCTCTCTGGCCGTGCTTCGAGACGACTTTACCAAGCTGCGGGCTGAGGTCATGTCCCAGCTGGATGAGCTGCGGGGTGAGCTGACTAGCGGGCTAGATGCTGAGGAGGAAGCAAGAAACTTGGATATTGCTGAGACAGAGGAAAGTATCATGCGCCGAATCAGCGAGGCCCAGGTAGCTATCATCTTTGATGAGGCACCAAGAGCTACCCTGTCGTTCCCGGATAGATGGTAGATATGAGGTGGAAACCTGGCTGATGAGAGCCTCTGGATCGGGGTCCGAATTTGCTGACCGCGTCGATAGAGCGGCAGACAAGTCCTTATTCAAGGGCTATGATATGCAGGAGTCCGATTATACTCTGTCATTGTATCCTGTCTTGGACCTCCCTTGCCCCCTTGTTTTCTCTCTTTTTCCATTCTTCATGTCCGCAAGTACTGTTTCGGAGAGTCAGATGAGTTAGATGCGCTCCTCGAATTCCCACGCACATTATCTTATTCGTTCGTCCCTACATCTATCGTCACTGCATATCGGCTGTATTAGCAGCACTCATAAGTAACAGCTCGTCCTCCACCCCAGTTATGCACCCCATATTGGTCGGTGTTATCTAATTACTAATGAACAGAAGAAATGTGATCCCGGTCAGGAGGGAAGTAGATCTACGATATATTATATAGAGCGATTTGCAGCAGAGGGCGATGGGACAACGATCTATAGGCCCTCACTCTTCCGCATTTCTTAGTAGTAGAGCGATACATTGTAAGGCGAAGGGAGCCTGGGACGGCAAGCCATATTATGGCAGGATGCACATCACGGACCTGCCGCAGGGTAATTATTGCAGAAGTATATTAGTTTTTACCCAGAGAAGCCAACGATGCCCTCTACCCACCGGCAGAAGCCAGTCCGGTCAAGAGCTGATAGCTCGCGGCGAGATTACCAGTTCCCCAAGAGACCTAGAAATATCAACATAGGCTGGCCCGACGGTATGCGTATTATAACGGGCAAAGAACACCTCCTAGGTATCGGCTTTGGCGAGGATAAGGGGGTTAACAGGCAGATATGAGACAGCAGCAGCGGCTAGATGATTGCCTCGGGAAGACTGTTGTAGTTCAATGAAATATAAAACCCTCTTGAATCATGCTGGTGCCCACAGGCCCAGGTGGAGACAGGCGTTAGCGGCATTACCACTTTCAGTTTTCGTCTCAATAAATACGCCTGCGGGGGCATATAGCAATGGCTTATAGGGCGTCTGGTTGAACATCTTGTATAACGAAATATCCCCTGCTGCTGGCCTTTGGGCGGCTTGCCGCATCTCGGCGTGCGTGGCGACGAACTGGGTGAGATGGCGCGGCAGCGGGTGCAAGGGTGAACTGGGCGTGGGCGTAAGTTGAACCACCCATTTCCGGACACCCCCTAGTTCCGGACACCCCAGTTAGCCAAACCGCCATTTCTACCCCCCTTCTTCAGAGGCTGCATCAATTTGCTTTTAAATAATTTCGTATATTATAAATTTATTTTCTCAAATAAAAATTAAACATATTTATATTTTTAATATATAAAATGTAGATATAAGATTGTTTAATAAAATATTATTCGTAAAACCGCGAATACGGTGTTGGTGCCGCCGGATTTAGCTGGCGCATCCCGCCGTTTTAAGCGGCGTCAGCACCTAGGGGCACAGGGGCCCAACAAGTACCGTGTACCTGCACAGCGCCCGAAGGCTTGGGACCCCACCACCCCACCGCAGTGGAAGTTGATCCGTTCCGACAGTTTCCAGGAGTCTTGGGATGCGTGGGGCTTGTCTTTGGGTCCTTTTCTTGACCCCTCGACTCACCACCGAAAGGACAGTCAGACTTCGAGGAGCCATTTCCGGCCCCTCGAGCTTGCTTACAAAATGCCCTCGCGCGCCGCCTGTTTCGGGGTCCTCCCCTCTTCTCTGAAGAGCTCGTGGTCCCAATACGCACCCATCATCTCTCTCTTCCAGCAACCATTCCCATCCGCCCGTTCTCAAGCCTCGACCCTGTCACCCGACTCGATCCTTTCTCTGGCCGCTTCTCAATCGCCAACCTAATCGATTGTCTTCCAGAATGCCAGCAAATGCTACAGCTAAACGGAAGCGACCCGACTCGAATGGCGGTGCCCCAAATCATTATGCCGATTTCCTTCAGCAGGTAACGGCTCGAGAAGCGAAAGATCGCGCGAGCAACGGGCGGGCACTATGGTCTGTCGAGGAGCATGCCGCGCACCGAAAACAACTGGAGAAAGTTGTTTTCATCAAACCGAAATATGCTGCTGAAACCGAGATTAATGTGAGCGGCTTCTTTGATAAATGGGTTCGGTTCGTGTCCTGTAGCTTCCCTCTGCCTCTTCTCTGCTAACTCCCGCGACAGGTATTGTACCGAGATGAAAGTTGGAGAATGGGAAGAGACGATGAAGAACATCACTCGCGCAACGATGCAAGATTTCTTCCTCTGGGTCTGCGAGAGGTACAGAATCAGGTCCTGGGGCACATCGCTGGTGTATATTCGCCAGTTTCAACAGCTTCATACGACTATAAATGGTCGCTATACGGACCGAAATGACATCAAGGAGTTATACAAGGTTTGAAAAGCCCCTCTCGTTCTCTTTTTTGGATGGCCTCTAGGTGTGCTTTACTGACATGCCAGCAGTACCACGACCGCGTATTGATTCCCACCTTCGAACTGCGAGCGCCCAACATCGATGGCAAGCTGGTACTCAACGTAGACTCCCTAAAGGTTATCCTCATCTTCAATATAGCGTACGATACCAGTATCTTCCCCTCCGAGCGGCAGCGCGTCAATTTATCTGGATGCTACATGATAATCTGCTATACTGGGGTCCGTCCTGCGGAGTTGGTCCACAACGAGAGAAAGCCACCAAAAAATGGATCGCTTGAGAAGCTTTTCGGTAGGAAAGGCGTCATGGTAGCCGACGACGACGATGAGGCGGACTGGGAAAAAATGGATGATATTTCCAAGAAGGTCTGCTTGTTGCTACAAAAAGAGACTAGTCTGCGAGGCCGGCCCAAAGCCCTTTGCTACGAAGATATCCTCATGATGATTGTCCGCCACCCTGTTACAGGGCGAGGTGTTCTAGCTATGTCGATCAAATTCATCCATCACAAAGGATGCGACAATAAGCCAAAACCGTATGTCCCTTTTCGCGTAGCGAGGCTTATTATATGCTGATGGATTCTAGGACTATTTTCTTTTTTTTCCCCGCCAAAAAAGTACTCTTCTGCCCTCTCCTTCTCTTCCTCGGTCTTGCGCTGTCTGACCATGCCTTCGACGCGCCGTCTATTAAGGGCGCGGCTTCGGTGCTTAGTAGTGGGATTCCAGACGGCCTGCAGTGTATTCCGTTACGGTGGAAGGAAACCAAAAAGAAGATCCCATTCTTTCGCCGCGTCTCTAGTGACGGTACCCTTTCCGAAGACGAAGCTATGCTATATGCTACGCTCAGGGACAACATGGGCCGGCAGAGCCTCGATTTGGGCTCTGAGAAGAAATGGACGCCAAGAGCTGGACGCAGAGGCGCCGCAAATGCTGCCAATGGTATGTCGTTGATTCGGCTCGGATGAGATCGCTTGTCGAGCTAACCACTGTTTCTTAGGGGATGCACCGGATGCCGTCCGCGATCAGATGATGCGACACGACCCCAGGTTTTTCACATTCCACTGCGCCTATTTGAACGAGAATGCGAAGTTTGACTTCCAGAATTGCTTCCTGGAAGATGAAAAGGAGGACCAGTTGTTTCGTTTGTTGGCACACGTCAGCTTGACCCGAGATCCCCGCGCCACGAGAGACATGGTTCCCCCCGAGGTGTGGGCCAACTTGCAACCGGATCCAGAGATCACTGCACTTGAGGAGCGGCGAGCGGAGCTGAAGCAGGGCCAGTATCGATTCGACGGCCAGGAGAATGAGACAGAGATCCGGAAGCTCACGGATACCATTCGATCGAAGAAACAACAGCGTGCGAAAAGGGTCGTGAAAGACTACCGCGAGTTCTATTTCTATCATCGCCCAACCTGGGACTTCGAAAGGCAAGCAAGAGGGGAAGTGGTGGAGCAATATACAGAGCCGGCCATTGATCTTGTCATCCCCGAGCGTGCAAGGCTGGCCAAGCTCCTCCGCAGCCAACCTGAGAATTTAAGCAACGAGGAGAGAATCGAGCTAAGCATTGAGATGGTTGACTGCTATATAGCTCTATGCAGCAAGCGAGAAACCGTCAAGCGCAAACGCATTCTGCCACCAGCTGACGACGGATATCCCACGTCAAAGCGCATCAAAGCTGAGGTCGAGTTAAAGCCTATACGCAATTCCTTTCCTCTCCTGATTCATCCCAACCAGTGTTCCGAATGCGCTGGTAATGAGCAGCTGATATATGAAGAACGGACATTCAAGTACTGTCGGCCTACGAAAAGAAATGATCACTTTGATGACCAATATCTGGAAGCAATGGAGCGGACCGAACAGCGTCGAGAGCTTATCGTATGCTACGAGTGCAAGGATGTGGAGCTCTATTCTGTAGATCACTTCCGGAATTATGTTCAGTTGGTTCACAGCTTTAAGCTTCGGATAGCAGATCAAGTTCAGAAGAGACGAGCTCAGAACCTCAAACGCAAACAATCGAAACCATCTAGTTAGTCTCATGTATATATATACATTTATAATATATTTTTATTTTCTCCGTTGAAAATCTCTGCCGCTTGGCATTTGTGTTTGGTTTTTTGTGTTCTACTCTCTATTGACCGCTATCTACTTGCATAATACATTTTCATTCCAGGCATGCTTCTATCCTGCCCCCTGGTGCAGGGTGACCTGGCGTGATGGTAGGCCTCCTGCAGCCACATCGCTTAGCTACCAATCAAAAGCTCAGAACCGAGTGCCAAAATATTCGTGTGAGACATCATTGCATATTAGGCACCGCTGCACCATTAAGTAGTGCCTGGCCCCCCTTCCCTCCTCTTTCTCGAGCTGACTGCATTCCTCTACATATCATCAATCTGCCTTGAACTACTTACAATAGTTCTTGCCACATTTTGATCCGAAGGCTTAAATGGCCTCTCCTCATCGAAGCATATCGAGTTGATGGATACCATCAATAGCCTTCGTTCTAAGGAAATTAATCACTATGTTTCTCTTCCTCAGATTATTGTTTGTGAAGATCAATCGTCTGGAAAGAGCTCTGTTCTGAAGGCGATTTCAGGCGTATCCTTTCCTATTAAAAGCAATCTCTGCACTTGCTTTCTTATCGAGCTGGTTCTATGTAAAACTCCTTGGGTTGGTATTAGCGTTTCAATTGTTCCAGATTACTCTTGCAGCGATTCTGAGAAGGCAGGCCTTGCTGGCTTCTACGCGGAACTAGAGGGCTTTAATAGCCTTGCTAATCTAATCGAGGATGCTAAGAGTGCTATGGGCATATCGATGCACGGTAAAGCGTTCTCTAAGGACCTCCTTCGAGTGGAGATCTCGGGTTCTGATCACTCTTATTTGACTATCGTGAACCTCTCTGGCCTAATTCATTTACAAACTAAGAATCAGATAGCGTTAGATGTTAAGCTGATCCAAGATATTGTTAAATCCTACATGAAACAATCTCGAAGCATTATTCTGGCTGTGATCTCAGCTAAGAACAACTTCGCGAACCAGGTTGTTTTGAAGCTAGCTCGTACAGCAGATATTTCTGGAAATCATATCCTCAGCATTATAATAAAGCCTGATATGCTATATATCGGATCGGAGAGCGAGGCATTATATGTATCTCTTGCTCGGAATTAAGAGATCGAGTTCCGTCTGAGCTAGCACGTGCTGAAGAACTTGGACTCTGAGACCAGCAAAGGGTCTCTTGCTCAACGAAACGCACTCGAGGACTCTTTTTTCGCGCAGGGGATCTGGAGGGAGCTGCCCGAGTCCATCCTTGGAGTTGGGCAGTTACGATATCGCCTGAGCAAAGTCCTCCTTAATCACATCAGGTCGGAACTGCTCAGCCTAGCTCGAGAGATCGAGGTTAAGCGCACCTCTTGCTAGAACGAGCTGAAGAAGCTAGGCCAGCCTCGAGGTACTCTGGATGAGCAGCGGCTCTATCTACTGTGCATCAGTGAATCCTTTCAACGGCTTGTAAAGAGCGCAATCGATGGGAACTGGCATGATTCTTTTTTTCAGAATGCTGAGACAGAGCGGAGCTATCAGCAGCGCATCCGGGCCATTGCTCAAAATCTCAACAGGAACTTTAGCACTCACCTCGGCAGGAAGAGCTATTGCCGTCAAATACTCGGCTCCAGTGACTCATCCGTGATGTATATATCCGAGAGCATCACTTTTCTCATCCGAGACAACTTCATCAGGCATATACAAGTGAAGATGTACAGATCCAAAGATCGAGAGCTTCCAAGCTTATTCAATCCAATGATCATTGCTGATCTCTTCCAGAATCAAGCCAGTTCATGGAAAAGCCTTGCTAGCAACCACGTTTGCAGCATATAGAAAGTGTACAAAACATTCCTCAGGCTTGTTATCGAATATATTGCTGATGTTGGAATCTCAGCTGCTCTTATTCAGAAGATCTTTGAACTAGCAATAGCTGAGATTTTAGCTGCTCTAGAAACTAATATTAATAATATAGTTAAGTTATATCAGATTATTCACTTTATTACTTATAATGCTGAATTTACAGAAATAATTCAGAAGATTAGAGCTGATAGAAAGAGAGCTGAGTACGCTGCAGTAGTAAAACGCTTTTTCAACATTTCCACTCTGCAGCATGCTAGCTTTCATAGTTCAAAGCTCGAAGAGCTGATCGAAACCTTGGTGAGAGAGACTACTGAGCTAGATATGAATCGCTATGCAGCTATCGAGGCTCTGAACTGTATGAAAGCATATTACAAGGTGCATACTAACATATCCTAGCAATATGAAACAGAGCATTTACGAATAACTGGCTTGCTTCTGTCAGGTTGCTAGGAAGCGCTTTGTCGATAATGTTGCGGTTGAGATCATCGAGATCCAGCTTGTGTCCATACTAGAGGATACTTTATCCCCAAGCAAAGTCTATAAGATGGATCCTACTCTGCTAGGCACCATGGCCGGGGAGTCCGAGGAATATCGGACTTTGCGAGAGCAGCTGAAGCAGCAGCTCGAAGTATTAAGCAAAGGAGCTGAGACTTGCAGGCGTTTTGTCGGGAATAAATTTAGCAGTATAGCAGAGGCTTGATATCAAGAACCTGGAACCTGCTCTCATTTACTGACTAACCTAGATGATATATCCAACGAATTCGAGCAGGCAGCACTAGATAGCAACGATACAGCTTCAACTCCGCCAATCCTGGAGACGCTTGCATCTGAAGTGGCTAAGGATCTGCTCGAGGAAGAGCTTGCATGTATTCCAAGCCCAGAGCTTGAGCTGGGGCCAGAGCTTGAATATACTGAGGAACTATCATTTGGTACAATTATATCCTCTGGTTTGAAGGCTAAAAAATCCAAGAAAAAGGCTAAGATACCGAAAACATCGAAGTGGGATGAAGAGGAGAATTAATTGCCGGTATAATATATAGTTGAGAAAGAGCCACCAGTTTAATGCAGCATGCGCTCTGAGTTTGCTAGATACTTGTTTGCCCTACTTGTCCCTGTTTGAATCCAACTAAAGGTGCCCGGCCTCCCTTGACTTTTCCATAGTCTCTCTCCCCTCTTCTCCTCTCTTCTCACGGCTTACGAACGAGGAAATGTGTGGCTGAAGGAGCACTCGAGCGGTCGAAGCGGCCGAGGGGGAATGGTAGCATCGAAGGGCTTCTCAGATAATGGTGTATTTCGTCTCGCCTTTCGCTAGCAGGGGTAAATAGCGCCGTCAGAATACAAGTGTTACGTGCCATGATCGTCAGCTTTGCGAGGGCCGCTTCTTGGCTAGCCGAAGAGATGAAGGAGAGAAGGGCTGCGTGAGAGCATCGAACAGTCGAATTGTTCTCAGAGCTTAGCTCTTCAAGCTGGATCATTCGAACAGCTCGCCTGCTGGACAGGGCCTTGTAGGTATATATCCCCATTGAGGGAGAGGAGGAGCATAACTGAGACCCGTGCCTGCTTTTTGGGAGGGAGACCTTTGGGGGTTAGGATGCCACGGGTCAGGGACAGAGCGCACCCTACCCCAGCTAGTCAGATTAAGGGGCGAGGCAGACTCAAATTGGGCCCTATAAGCTCAGCCTCTTCCTGCCGTACATGTGTGGCCGGTACTAGATCATTAACCAGCCAGGATATATAGCTCGACGGTTATCCGCTTTGAAGCTATCTCTTTATTCTTGCCTTCTCAACACCGGCATTTATCTCGAAAAGGAATACGAAATGGCTGTTTACATTCAAGACGGCTTTTCTGGTTACAGACTTACAGAGGGCGATTTTAGCAGATGATACGAGCCGTACACACCGTAGTGGGTGCTGACTGAAGGGCAGGGCCGAGAAACAGAGGCTTTCCCCAGCATGCTGCCAGCCACCTAAGTATCAATACCGACACAACAACCATATCTTCTTGGAGTACCACTCAGGATAACAGTCCAACCCGCTATGCCAACTTCAATACCTGTGGCGCAAGGTTTACACGCCCTGGAACGGCAAACACGATCGATAACCTTCCCGCATACTCACCGAGGCCTCCATCCTATCACTCCAACATTTCAGATACACACCGCCCAGCTACAGTAGAAGGCAAGACGTTTGCCAGTATGCGAAATCGCGGGAAGCGAGGATACGAGGCACTAAAGAGTAGAGCAAAGAAGATTCGTGAATTCGTGCGAAAAGCCGGCGTGAGAGTGGCGGCCGCGACCGGAAGGGGTGTTATCATTCTTGTCTTGACGGCTACAGCTCCTATTTGGATAGTTATTATCGTTACAGATATCTTTGAGTAGCGAGAAAATATATGGCCGTCGTTCGTCGTCGAACTGCTAACAACTGATCCTCTCGCGTATAACCCACCAACGACGTCGCAAATGAAAGACGATATAACGATCCTGCAATTGCCCAGAAAGTTCAAGTCTCGCTAGTATAGTACTTTCAGACATACCACGGAGGTCCTGGCCAGTATATACCATGGCTTACTTGACTCTAGTCCAACCGATACGAGGAAATTCCGGGATTCCAGAAGGCGCCATCTTTACAAAAAAAAGTCGCAGGTAGGCAGATTCTAGCTTAGGGGCAGCCGTGCTTGTGCCACCGACTCGATTATTCCTCAAGAACTGGTATCCTCTCGGCTTCCCCCCCCCCCCTTCCCCTTACCCCGAGCGTCTTGACAAGGACTTCGCTGTAAAGGCTGTGTAACGAACACCCTTGGCGCCTTTACCCGCCGAAAATTGAAATGTATCTACTTGTTGGCTTGGCAAGGGTTAAGTCGCAGCCACCACTTGATAGTCGCCTCATCATCGCCCATAGTATGGAGCTGAGACTTTAACCAAGGATGCCTGACCGGCTGAGTACATCTTCTGGGACTAGCTTGTAATGACGGAAGAACCGATACGCTACCACGGAGGGATAATGGAGGCGAATCTCAGAGTAGATAAGGACACACGTGGGTAGCCCTGCACGAGGGTGACATGGCCTCTCGAAGGGGGTCGAGAAAGAGGAGGATGTATTTCCGTCACATTGGCCCCTAGTTAGAACCATACCCCTTAGTTTTGAAGGGCAAAGGGGGTGGATGCGGCAGCAGGGGAAGAGAGGAGGCAAAGTGAGGGAGGGAGAGGCAGCCAACGGTAGAATCATCCCGAAACCACCAGATAGCATAGGCCGCTAAGGTCGCTCACGCAGTTTGAGTACTCAGGCGGCTTCTGTGTCAGACTATTTCAATAGCTTTCCCTCCGTCGTCCTTGATTTTCCCCCTTTCTTAACAGTCACCATATCTACCTATCTTACTTATATCATTCTAAATCCACACGCTCGGTATAATGAGAGACTTGGAGGCGATAGTTATTTCAGGTCTAACCATGAACGGTTATACGACATCTGATTACGACGCGATCTATAAGCCCCTGGACTCTCTAGTAGCAGACATTGGAGATGGCTCTATTGAGCGTTTGGAGCCTGTGTTGACTGCTGATTCCTCTTTATACGCCATCCATGGAGGGATCGCATCCGACTTAACACGCGGGTCCAGTGGTGGACCTGGCAAGAGCAACAACATATCAGAACCAGGGTCCCCTTCTTCTATACGTGCTTCTATATATAGTGGCCGCGAGAGTGAAGTCAAGGCTTCCGCCAGTATGTCAAGGTCTAACGGATTTTTCAGTCTCGACATAATAAGTGACTGACTAGCTTAACAGTAACCGGCAAGAATGTTCAACGCTATACTTTAGCCATCGATAGGTATCTCTAAGGATATTCGGCAAAAGATAGAGACAGAATTTGGCCAAGACTTAAGCAATTTCAAGGTAATTCTTCTCCCGAAGACTATTCCTCCCCAGGTCTTTGGCTTCAACCTCATGCACAAAGGTCAAGCATGCCAGGTTAACTTGGAAAGAAAAAAAATCAAGGAATTAACGAAGGAACGATTTCAATTGCTACAAAGAGATGATTCGGCGGAAAAACTGGATACCCACTCAGCCATCTTTATCCGTATTCTTGGCCGATAGAGAACAAGACCAACCCAGAGCTCGAGCCTAAGCGGGAGCCTGAGCCTGGAGAGGAACCACTTGATACAATTATACCGCCTAATACAGAGTTGAGGCGCCAGTGGCTGAAAATTGGAAGCTTTCGTACCTACCTCCAAGCTGTCCTTCCTGCAAGAGTATTCGCGAGCGACAAAGGCTAGGCTTCTGGCCGCGTCTGTCGGCAAACCACCTTCTTCAGCGATCTGGGAGGATGCAACATTAGCCAGAGGCGCAAAAACACTTGAATAGGGGTATGCATACATATTGGCAGCTGTAAAGGCCCTTACACTCGTCGCACGGTAGGAGGAGGCGGCCTATCAGTAGCTGCATTAGTATAATGCTTTGTGATGTGCAACCCCTAGGATCGACGACGAGAGGCGGCTCTAGATCGTTAAGGCACTGGATACAGGGAATCTCAAGCCCCTCAAGCGGGCTGATCCGTACGGCCATGGTTAGTGCCTTCCGACGTATGAGAAAGGAGTAGGTTTTACATACCAGTGGATAGGTGGCTCATCAGCGGTAAGCAAGATCCGAGGTATGTTTGACATGGTGGATAATAGGCGGCGGCTGGGTGAGTAGGATAGATTATTTGAGAAAGTTTTAAGGATTCTGAGAGATCAAATAGCCGGTCCTGGATAGGTATGACATGATAGATAATTTGAAGGGAAAAGTGATTTCTGAAAGCCTCCAACCGATGTCTCTTCCTAATGGGTTTATCTAATAGACCCCCATTTCTGCCAATCCAGGGCCAGGTAAACAATCATAGGAATACCGCAATAACAGATCCTCCCTCCAACCAAACATGACTCCGCCGGGTATAGGCAATCTATTGTTGCACCATCCCTCCTGAGGCGAGCCTCGGCCGTTGTTTCTAGGGCTAGGGTGCTAGGCTCCCGGGTAATTAAAGGTGCCTGTCCTCCCCATCGCTGCCATCGTGTCTCTCCCCTCTTCTCCTCCCTTATCACGGCTTCCGATCGAGGAAATAGCGATGATAGACATGATGTGTGGAATTGAAGGCGAGCACTTAGGTACTATCTGGCGCGGTCGAAGCGGTCGAGGGGGAGTGTAGCCTCAAAGGGCTTCTGAGATAATGGCGCATTTCTTTCCGCCCTTCGTTATCAGGGGTAAATAGCGTGCCATCAGGATGCAGGTGTCAGGTGCTGCCGTCAGCCCTGCTAGGGCGGCACACGCTTCTTGGCTAGCCGACGAGATGAAGGAGAGGGAGGGCTGCGTGGTGGCTTTGGCTGATGACGCAGATGATCTTCGCGGCTGACCGATGTGAAACTCGACGTAAAGCTTGCTGCAAAGCCTGCTGAGACATCGGTGTTGTCCGTAGCATCCTTGCCGTACCCATCGTGAAGAATAGCCAGCCCAACATTCACACCCTGAGTCTCTTGTGTCTCCGGCTCGTCATCTTCCGGTTCGGCGAACATCCGACAATCGTAAAAGTCAAAGGGACTCGAGCCTTCCTGGTGCTCTTCCTCGATTGTACTCGCCAAATCAGTTCCTTCTGTGTTCGTAGCCTCAGCGTGTTGCTTGCGTGCTCTTGCATTTGCTGTCTCAATAAACCGGTCCCGGTAGTCTTTCGCCAATACCCTCAGATTCCTAAAGGCTCCAGTACCCTCCAACCAAACATCATGATCACCCGTCAGAGCATAGGCTTTGAGCTGAGTAGTGTGTTGGCACGGTCTCTGCCCAGGGCCAACAGGAGCAGTGATGTGGTGTGCATATAGCGTAAGTGTCCCGCCGAGGAGTGTTGACGTAAATGCATAGGCATTGCCATCGTAGAGAGGCTCTGCTTGGAGGTAATTCTGCAGAGCATGCATAATGATTGCTCCATGCGCGCCGTCCAAGACTGCCTGTCCGTCTGCCACCTCAACGGTTCCTCCAGAACTCTTAGCCTCGAGGAAAAAGTTAGGCGCCACAGGAAACCCTCCTTTTTTACTCGGTATAATTATCTTATCCAAATCTTCTCTTACTTTCTTATCCAAGTCGCCAGGTCGCGCTCCGTCGAAAAAGTCAGGCACCGGGTTGACAGTGGTATTATTGGTTATCGATTCCAAATTAGTGAACGAAATATGTCCTTCGTTTGGAATGTTGATATTGCCAGCGATCAGTGGAACCACATTGCGCATGATTGTGCCTTCTGACTTGGTCTTGTTCCTGCGCTGAAAGTCTTTAAAGGCTGAGTTGGGAACAGTCGACGGCGAAAGAGACCCCCTAGGCACTTTCAGAGCCTGTCGAATTTCTTCCCAGTTGGCCGGTTCTGGGGGTTCACGGTCATCGGGGAAGTCATAGAGTGGAGGGTAGATATTGTTGTCAATGAGGTGTTGTTCGAAATTCGCATCGTACGCAGAAGATCGCCTGCTTTTGGAGGTAACGGTCGTCGGCTTAGTTGATTGCGTTCGCCTGCTGCTCGCAGACGGCGTGGAGGCCATCGCGCGTGCTATGCTCGTCGGCCCTGGGTACTAAACAAGCTAGTTAGTCCATCACAGGTGAAGATATGGTAATAGAGGCATACCCCTCGAAGATCGCCGAGATCTGGACCACCATCCGTTGCAAACAGAGCAAGCTCTGAAACACCAAATCTTCCAAGCGCAGCAACTTTCGCGCTACGATGTCTTCCTACAAGCCGGCTTGCGGACTTCGATGGGGGATGGTCCTCGTTTCGCCGGTCGAGTTCTCGCTTGGCACGACTCGTGAGCCAAATCGTCGACAAGTTATCGTAGAATTCGGGGGGGAAGTTCGGAGGACTGCGGAACGCACCCCTCGATTTCGCTTTCTTCGATGGGACTGGATCTGGCGGAGGGTCGTCTGCTCGCTGCCACTTTCGTTTCTCCGGCCGCGCCATGGACGACCATTGTAGAGGATGGAACTGTGGGAGATGAGCCAGGATATGAAGCAAGATGGTGGCCGAACACGGTAGGAAGTGACTCACGCGATAAGCAGGTTGGTTTGAGGAATCGACTAAGCTGCTCGTTACGCGCCGAGATGCGCATTCGGAGATGCTGCTTGCCGTGGACCGTTTCAACACGGCTGCTCCACCGAGAAGGCGTTCGTGTAGTGAGCGGAGATAAGGCCCGGACGCTTGCATTCAGGGCACTGGAATGGGGCTGATAACGTGACTTCGTGGGCCCGTGCCTCGCCAGCTCGCTGCGCTGCCCGAAGCTTAGTCATCTTGTTATCCATAGCACTAAAGGCATGGGTGGGTGCCTGTGGCCCTTGATTTGAAGTTGTACCCTGGTGCTGTCGTCCGACCTCTGCTTGGCCCCAAATCGGGCCCCCTGGCCTTCCGGTTCCCCTTCCGGTTCACATGCAGAAGCCGGAGCTGATGTGCCGGGGCCCCGGGACGCCCGGGATATCAGCTCGACGCTGCCCGCCATATAGATGATGAGCCACTGTATAGCCTCGAGCGACCTGGCTTCGGCCGCTTCGTGGCATACAGTAGTTTATGCTATGTTATAACCCACCCGACATGCAGTAGTATATAGCCCGGGGTTGGGGCTACAGCCTTCAGGTAGCCACCGAGAATTGAGTCACCAGATCCCTAACGTGAGCCAGCGAGCCGGAGGTGTTACTGCAGTGCTCAGTACACTACAGCAATCATTGTATGGTATTTCTAATACACTTTACTGCTTTTCCGAACTCCTTGACAGCGTCGTTTGCCTTTTCAGAGTCCCTCGGCTTCGACTTCAACATCAATTGATAGGGAGTGGGAGATCGTGCTCGCCCTGTGAGGAACGTCCTGTGCTGTGGTGCCAGATACGCTTCAAAGCCCCCTCGATCAGGGTGATTGCTGAGCGACTTCATTCTTTCAACCCGCGAGACCGCCTCTAGGCCTGCGCCTGGACAACTTTAGTGGCATGTCTTCTGGCGCGCATATGTCGTTGGGGAGGGAATAGCTCGACCGTTTCTGGCGGTAAACCTGCAAGACGCCGACTCCTACGTGTAGGCCTAGTCTCTGAAGATATGTCAGTTGATACAGTACAGACCAACATGACTTCAAAATAGTGCACCTAGCGAAGTATAAAGCCACTGCTCTATGCGTGCCTTGGTTGCTGGCCAGCGAGCAGCGAATTTCTGCTCTCGATCGCTGTACTCAATATGGTCCTGCAGCGCGGTTGGGTCGGAAGGCTGTGGTGGTGAGCCAAATTTCTCCTGTCGCATCCGGCGCAGCTCTTTCTCGAAGAAGGACTTTCTGCATTGCCAGTAGGAGAGGTCATCTGCACGCGCAGTACAATCTGCCTTCAGGCAAACATGTCCATGGTGGAGTCGTAGTTCGTCGCGCATTATCAGCTGCACGCCTTCGGGCTTGAAACGATTGAGCTGTTGCATCGAATGCTTGATAAGGAATTTGGTTGTTTGGATGCGTTGCTGTGTAGGGAATTGATCGGTATGGAATGACTGTGTACAGGATAGATAGCTTGATCCTGCTGAGACAGATAGGTCGCCCCTGCCGAAATGTGCAAGGTTGGTTTTCGTTAGAGGTAAAGGCGAGCTTGCATGAGCAGTAGCAGCAGCCATTGCGATGAGGCCATGAGTGACTGACCAGAGTGTGGAGGTGCGAGATGTGGATGGCGGTGATCTTAAAATGATTTGTACTGCTTGCTGTCTGGCGGCCGCGCTAGTTGCATGACGTAAGCGTAGCAGCATGCCAGGGGTACTGACTCAAGGTTGTCCCCTCTAACTTTGTTGGGCTGCGTGGCAACAAAGCGCCCTAGTGTAATGAGCACTGCAGCAATCCGAAGATTCCAAAGTACACAAAGGGGTTTATGCTAACAAGAGCGATGTCAAAGTGTCAAGTCCTTGAATACGGAACCGTATAAGTCCTAGTAAGCGATACAAGTGTTCACTGCCTTTGGGGCTACTCAGTATGTAAGACTGAATACTTAGATTGACAACTGAAGAGCTATATACTGAATCTATCTAATGGCAAGGAACGTGTCCTTATATATCCAGCTCTTCAGTATGGACCGTAAGAGTCAACGGCGATAGTTGCGGTCCAAGGTTGCATCGACAGAACCGCTTGCAGTCCTCGCAGTTCATCCCTGCCTAGTGGAACTCGTAACCCTAACCCTGGATTATGTAATCCTTGTTGGTTGCCTGATGTTGAGTCATAACACCTGGTCCCTGCTTGCCTGTGATCTGTTCTCGTGACCTGCATGTTGGATGAGTCATAACATCATCTCCCTTCTATCAGTCGTTATTCCCAACGATCTTCTGTAAGTACTCTGGCAAACCTTTCGTACATGATCTTGCCTTTCTAATCCGGATAATGAGCAGAATCGATAAATCTCGCTACAAAAAAATAGAGCAAAGTGCTTCTTTCTAGCTTGTTACTTTCTCCTGTTGTTCCGTTATGCTTTCTTATTCTTATTGCAAGAGCTGCAAAGCTCTCTGCTTTGCTTCTAAGGAGAATTCGTTATGCTATACTGAGTGCATTCGAAATAAGCGAGGGAATTGCGATATGCATGGCCTTACCCCTGCGCAGATGCAGAAAATCATTGTGCAACATTCGAAGGTGGAGGCTGAGCTGGATGCTGCTGAGGAGGAGGCGATGTTAGCAAATGCTAAGGTATTTCGTTTGCGGAAACAGCGCTGTTTGTAAGCCGAGAAGATGGCATGCGCTGTTCGTTGTAGTCTGAATACAATCGAGGAGCTTGATCGTGTGGAAGCGGAGGAGCTAGCAAAGAAGCAGCAGGCTTGTGTTTCTGTTAGTCCTTTTCCTGAGAGGTTTTCTGCTTTGGTTTCGGGAGAATCCTTCTAGTCTTCTGGTAGTATGTTGGATTATTCCTTTTTAAGCGATGTAGATGATATCGAGGGCGATGGAGGTTCTTCTGATGCTTGAGAGATCCGTTCTGAGTTGGAGGATTTTCCGGAGAGTGAGGTTCCTGAAGCTTCTGGATCTCGGTCCGGGGCGGAGCGATCATCCTAGGTGCTGGTTTTCCTCTTCCAATATTCAGCTACCTTTTCCTGAGCGTTCTCAACGTTTTTCCGTAATTCCTACGAATTCTCGCTTGCTAGGTAATCTTTTCATTTAATGAAGTATTCCTTCGTATTATCTATGCTTCTATGCTTGAGGATCTTCTCTACCTCATACTCTAGCTCGTTATTCTTCACTTCTGCTATATTATTCATTAGTATTTCCTGCACTACTAGTTCCAGCAATGAAACATGAAAAACCGAATATATCCTCATCTTATAAAATAATGCTAACTCGTAATTAACTGAGAAGATCTGTTGCAAGATTTTGAATAATCCCAACTTCTTGTAATCAAGTTTGTTGCTAGATCTGATTATTTTGATATTTTTTTGAAATAGATAGATCTTATTTCCCTTCTGTAGGATTAGTTTCTTAATCCTTTTGGAGTTTGCATATTTGTTATGACCCATCCAACATGCAGGTCACAGAACAGGTCACGGGTAACAGGGACCAGGCGTCAAGGACTCAACATCCTGACAAAGCATTGATTACATAACCCAGAGTTAGGGTTATGGGCACGGCCAATCAGGAAGGATAGCTTCGGATATGTGCTATCCAGAGCTAGCAGGATAACTTGGATATGTTGCTATCCAACATATCCATACTAAAGAGCTGGATATATAAGAACACGTTCATTACCATTAGATAGATTCAGTATATAGCTCTTCAGTTGTCAATCTAAGTATTCAGTTTCATACACTGAGTAGCCCCAAAGGCAGTGAACACTTGCATTGCTTATTAGGACTTGTACAGTTCTGTATTCAAGGATTTGATACTTTGATACTGCTCTTGTTAGCATAAACCCCTTCGTATACTTAGGAATCTTCGGATTGCTGCAGTGCTCATTACATTTTGATAACTCTTGTTCAAGAACAGTTCAGTGTTATCCCTTGAGCAATACGGAATACGATGGCTTCTCCAGGAATCCCTTTGTTCTCGCACGCTTCTACTCAGAAAGAACTGGTTAATCAAGTGTATTAGCTCATCCAGCGTATCCAGGATCTGCGCAAACAACAGCAGGCCCAGAGCGCCACCATCGCCAACCAGCAGGCCCAGCTAGCTCAACAGGCTCAGCAGGCCCAGCTAGCTTAACAGGCTCAGCAGGCCCAGCTAGCCCAATAGGCTCAGCAGGCGCAGTCCATCTCCGCAGCCACCAGTAGTGCTGGAAAAGCATACAAGATGGACAAGCTCGCTATATACAACAGCAATCAGAAGACGCTACATGGATTCCTTACCTACTGCAGGGCGTACTTTTTGCATCATGCAATCCAGTTCACCATGAAATCTGAGAAGATCATCCTTGCGGGAATTCGCCTCGAAAAGGATGCTCTCATTTGGTATAAGCCTTCTCTATACAACTACTTAGAGCATTAGAATAACCTCGGTACATGTATTCAGGGTATCAAGAACATATTCGATTCCTTTGAGAGCTTCAAGAAAGCTCTCAAAGAAATCTTTGGTAATCTCAACGAAGAATGCACTACAGCTTAGCAGCTCATGGATCTCAAGCAGATCAAATCAGCTTCTGCCTATATAGTCAGATTCAAACAGCTCTTAGCAAGACTTCTGTAAGAAAATAAGAATCTCATGGAGCACTATTACAAGGGACTCAAGAACGATGTTAAGAATGAGATCTTCAAGCAGAATTAGCCAGAGAACTTTGCAACGTTCTCCAATCAAGCTATCCGCATCAACAACTGTCTGTATGAATGATGGGTAGAGAAGTTTAAGAAGGGAGGAAGCTAGACTTGGAGATTTCCAGCTAATACGGGCAAGAAACTCCAAAATAAGAATGGCGGTTGATATGGCAGTACAGCTCAGAGCAGCACCACGCACGCTGATCCCATGGAACTCGATGCAGCTAACAGGCAGTATAGCAAGAGAAACAGCATTACTTGCTATAACTGCAACAAACAAGAACACATTGCATGCAACTGCCATCAACTCCGGAAGAACAAATGGTAATCAGTTTAGAAAGAATGCTAAATGAATGTTGCTCAATAACAGAAACCCAATCAACTGAGCAAAAACACCTCTTTAGAGCAAGTATTGGATTCTGTTGATTACAGAAGTCTCAGCTGAACATTCTGCTATAACAACAACTGCTTAACATATCTTTCGAATAAGGAAGATTCAGAATGGTTCCCTCAGAAACCTAGGCGCCACAGGCAGATAGCAACAGCAGAGCGAGGGTATACGCCCAGCACAACTACGAGCAGCAACAACTCGGACTGCTCCGATATTACTGAACGAAGCATCCAGGCGCTGAAGGAAGAGCTTAACAACAGTGCCCTTCGCTATTCCTCATCATCTGTACCAGACACTATAACCAGAGAAATGAACAAAGGATGATACTCTCTTGGTTATTGGTATAAGTATCTAAATAATACCGAAAACGCCTCTCAGGCAACGGAAAAATTAAGCTAGAACGAATAATCTAACGATTTACTGGAATCTCCCGTAAACAATGAACCCAAGAAACCTGCAGAAAGGTTTCTCTTCAGTATTGGATGGAACAAGGAAACAATATAGATTGAATATCTCGTTTATGAAATAGAACTAGAAAAGCTCTTCACCTGCATCCCCTTACAGAACATTGAGATACAAGAGAATGAAAACTCTCAAATCAGCTCACTTCATAATCTATACTACAAATTAGCTTGAATCTTCTGCACCTATCATAGCTGCAGAATGCATTTCTCAGACAAAGTGCAATACGAATGGTTCTCTGCTAGAGAATCAGAACAAATCCTTCAGGCTATTGAAGAACAGGAACTCCGCTTCAGAGAGATTCTTGATAAACAGCACCACAACGCATATATTGAACTACCAAACAATTGCCCCATACAATGTATAAACAAGAAAATAAAATAGTAGCAGTATGAAACAATACTCTGCATAATTCATATCAATAATAAAGTTCGCAACTAGCATCAACAGAAGAAAGATCAGGAATAATAATAATACGAGCAAAAGCAAGCCAAGAAGCTCGCTCAAAAAGCAGCGAAGCAAGCTCAGAAGAACAAGCAGTTCTCGATAAACTCAAAAGAATAAAATCGCCTGTAAAGAGACTGCAGACGATCAGACCAGAACAGTCTCTATATAAAGCCTCTAGAACAGATTACGCTTACATCAAGTTCAACATATATATTCAAGAATACAAATACAGCGCACTATTGAATAGTAGCGCTCAGGGAAACTTTATATCCCCACACATTATCAATCAGGCATAACTACAATAAAGATGGAAGAGATGCCCATATACTCTCAGCACTGTAAAAGAACAATCTGTTGCATACAACCAAGAAGTAATCAATAAAAAGACTAATTATCTACCTATCTTGATTCAAAAATGCGCAACCAAAGCTTCTTTTAATATCACGGATATAGTATAGCATGAGCTGATTATGGAGCTTCCATAGCTCAAGGAGCATAATCCTCAAATCGATTGAACTACTAGCCAGATCTCATGAGAACAAGCTGTACCCAGAGAGATAGTTACAATCAACGATGCAGGATCGAAGCCAGTGATTAAAGAACACTCAGGAAAAAAGGCTTCATACAACTTCCCACATACCTCCAAGTCAGCAGGGCTAGCAGTTCAAGGAGAAGGATCTAGTGATAAGCGAACCCAAACAGTGCTAGAGCGCTAACAGGTTAGCAAAACAACGGAAGCGAAATCCTCAGCAAATCGATCCGCCCCGGAGCGACAAAGAAAAGCTTCAGAATGTGAATTGTGGAACCATACAGGAAAAACCTCGAAACCAGGCCCTCAAGCGCTCAGTCCAGCCCGAAGCGAACGCTCAAGGCCCTCGAAAACGCCATCAGAAAAGAAGCACGCTCAACGATACCTACTATTCCTCCAGATAGCAGAAACAGCACAAGAACCAGAACCTACCCTCGCAAACATACCACGAGAATATCATAAGTTCAAGAAACTATTCCAGAAAGGATTGGAAACAGAATTACCAGAATACAGCCCATACAATCACAAAATCCCGCTACAAGAAGAGAAACAACCCAAATTCTTCCCCATCTACAGACTAAACAAGGTACAGCTAGAAACACTTCGGAAGTACCTTGATGAGAACCTTAAGAAAGAATACATACAACCATTGCAATCACCAGCAGAATACCCCATCCTATTTGTATCCAAAAAAAACAGCAAGCTCAGGCTATGCATTGATTACAGACAACTCAACAATATCACAATCAAAAACCGATACCCATTGCCACTCATCAAGGAACTACGAGATAGATTACAAGGAGCACAGTAGTTTACAGTTCTGAATCTAAAAGAAGCTTATAACCTGATCAGAATAAAGAAAGAAGAAGAATGGAAAACTGCTTTCAGAACGCGCTATGAACACTACGAATATTTGATCATGCCCTTTAATCTAACAAACGCCCCAGCTTCATTCCAGAAAATGATCAATCACGTTCTATGCAAGCATCTGGATCAGTTCGTCATTATCTATCTCGACAACATCCTTATTTACTCTCGAACATTGGAAGAATACAAAAAACATGTGGAAACAGTATTGCAGACGCTCCAGAATGCAAAACTCCTTGTAGAACCAGCGAAGAATCACTTTCACATGCAAAAAGTCAACTACCTCGAATTCACAATCAAGCTAGAATGCATCAAGCCACAGAAGAATAAGATAGAAGCTATCAGGAACTGGCCAATTCTCAAAAACATTAGAAATATCAGGTTTTTCCTCGGATATATTAACTTCTACAGGCAGTTCATTAAGAACTACAGCCGGATCACACATCCCCTTACGAATCTTACCAAAAGAAATCAACCCTTTGAATAAATCTCTAAGGCACAAGAAGCTTTTAATAAGATCATCAAGCACATCACCTCAGAGCTAGTTCTGTATGAAGCAGATCCCTACAAACTCTTTAAAGTTGAGACCGATGCATCAGGATATGCACTCGGAGAACAACTTAGCTAGCGAGATAACTAAGAACGTCTAAGGATTATAAGCAACTTTTCGAAAAAACTGAACAGCCCGGAAATCAACTACAGAATCCCCAATCAGGAACTCATAGCAATAGTAAAGACCTTCGAGAAGTAGCAATACTATCTTATTAGCATACAATATCCGATCATAGTTCACTCGGATTACAAGAATCTGATTACATTCATAACAACCAAGGTTTTGAACAAGCAACAAGTTAGATAGACAGAATTCCTCTTACAGTTCAACTTCAAGATTATGCACTGCAAAGGCTCGGAGAACGGATGAGTAGATGCTCTTAGTAGAAGATCAGATCATTGAAATGTAGATTCTTCGGATATATAGAACATCTTCGCTCAAGACGAGTCAGGAAATCTCGTCAATGCATATAGAGAACTGAATGCTGCTCTCAGAATAGGATCCTCGGAAAGGAATCCAGAATCAATAACTCTGAACGAACAAGATAACTACATCAAGAATATACACAGTACACCAGCACACGAGCACCAGGGAATCAGAGCAACCTATGAATGCATCAAGAGATACTGGAACCCATCAGGCCTTAGGAAAAGGATTGAAAGCATCCTACAACAATGCAACAGCTGCAAAAAGAATAAGGCAGAAAGATACAAGCCTTATAAACTACTGCACTCCTTACTAGTACTTACAACTGTTTAGCAATCCATCAATCTAAACTTTATTACCAAGCTACCTCTCTTACAAGAATCCTTAACTAAGATGCAATATAATAGCATTCTAGTAATGGTTTGCAAACTAAGCAAGTATGCTTACTTTCTTCCCTATAAGAAAAGCAGTACAGCAGAGGAACTTGCATATGCATTCCTCAGAACAATCATCGCTAACTACAGCACGCCAGAGGAAATAATCTCCAACAGAGACAGAAAGTTCAACTCAAAATTTTGAACTTCACTTATAAAACAGCTCAGAACATACCACAGAATGTCTATAGTATTTCACCCACAAATAAATGAACAAACGGAAAGAATAAATCAAGTTATTAAACAGTATCTACAACACTATATCAATCAGGAACAGAACAACTGAATTAACCTGTTACCTCTCGCACAGTTTGCTTATAATAGTACAGATACAAGCATAACGAAGAAATCGCCATTCTTCGTACTCTATAAACACAATCCAACAGCTTATCACGAAGCACTACCAGAAGCAGATGCAGAAGCTGCAGACAAAAGGGTTAAGAAGATCAAGAAAGTTCAGAAAGAACTCCGATCAGAGTTACAATTCGTCCAAGAACGAATAATGCAGTATGCAAACTCCAAAAGGATTGAGAAACCAATCCTACAGAAGGAAGATAAGATCTACCTACTTCGGAAAAACATCAAAACAACCAAACCCAGCAACAAACTCAACTACAAGAAGTTAGAACTATTCAAAATCTTACAACAGATCTCCCCAGTCAACTACGAATTAGCATTACCTTATGGAATGAGAATATACCCGGTTTTCCACATCTCACTACTGGAACTAGCAGCACAGGAAATACCAGCAGACAATACAGCAGAAGTAGAAAACAATGAACCAGAATATAAGATAGAAAAGATCCTCAAGCACAGAGGCACAGACAACACAAAGGAATACCTCATCAAATGGAAAGATTACCCAGCAAGTAAAAATTCATGGGAACTACGGGAGAACGTTGAAAATGCTCAGAAAAAGATAGCTGAATATTGGAAAAGGAAGGCTAGCACCTAAGACAACCGCTCCGGCCCGGAAAGGAGCCCAGAGCTCACCATCTCATCCAAAAACTCAGACCAATCCACCACTGCATTCCCTACATCCACGGAATTCCAGTCAAAACCCTCAAAAGAAGGATCTCCAGCAATCACAGCAGATTTCTCTACAACCATAGAACGAACCCCAGCAGCAATGCAAGCTCGCTCCTCCTCAGCCTCCTCACATTCCAACTCCTCCACACTGGAAAGGCCTCAACGAATAGCTTTCATCATCCTCTCAAACCACAGACGCTTCTGCTTCTGCAAACATCCTACCTCCGCAGCAGCATCGCGCAGCCGCTTCTCAGCACTCTCGAGTTAGTTCTCCAAGCGTTAATACTGAACGCCTATCCAACGAATTTCCGCTGCACTCAACCCTTGAACATCGCACCGAGAGCAATCCAGGCGGACACATTCGGCGCAGCAAGAGGAATTCTCGATGGAAACTTGACAAAACTGAATACCACAACCCTTGCAGAAGGAACAAGAAGGCATGGTAATAGCGTTTTGAAGAACCAAGGAAAGAAGAGAATCCTTTTATTTAGTCTTCTCAGCACAAAAGCAGGATTTGTTGATTCTATTCAACATCTCAATTAGGAAAGCAAGATTATGTATATGGAGAACTTGCTAGAATACTTACAAAAGATCGTTGGGAACAACGACTGATAGGAGGGAGATGATGTTATAACTCATCCAATATGCAGGTTACAGAACAGATCACGGGTAACAGGGACCAGGCGTTAAGGACTCAACATTCTAACAAAGCATTGATTATATAATCCAGAGTTAGGGTTATGAGCACAGCCAATCAGGAAGGATAGCTTCGGATATGTGCTATCCAGAGCTAGCAGGATAACTTGAATATGTTGCTATCCAACATATCTATACTAAAGAGCTGGATATATAAGAACACGTTCATTACTATTAGATAGATTCAGTACATAGCTCTTCAGTTATTAATCTAAGTATTCAGTTTCATACACTGAGTAGCCCCAAAGGCAGTGAACACTTGCATCGCTTATTAGGATTTGTACAGTTCCGTATTCAAGAACTTAATACTTTGACACCGCTCTTGTTAGCATAAACCCCTTCGTGTACTTAGGAATCTTCGGATTGCTGCAGTGCTCATTACAATATTATATTATTTGTTTCTGAATGAATTATAATTCTAATCAGAATTTCTTCTAAACTTTCTTAATCTTCTTAACTCTTTTATCTGCAGCTTCTGCATCTGCTTCTAGCAATACTTTGTAATAAGCTGTTGTATTGTATCTGTAGAGTATAAAGAATAATAACTTCTTTATTATGCTTATATCTGCATTATTATAAGCAAACTATGCAAAAAGCAATAAATTAATTCAATTATTCTGTTTCTAATTAATATAGTATTGAAAATACTATTTAATAACTTAGTTTATTCTTTCTATTTATTTATCTATTTGCAGATGAAATGCTATAAACATTCTGTAATATATTCCAAGCTGTTTTATAAGCAAAATTCAAAACTTTGAATTAAACTTTCTATTTCTATCGGAAATTACTTCTTCTAGCATACTATAATTAGCAATAATTATTCTGAGAAATACATATGCAAGTTCTTCTGCTATACTGCTTTTCTTATAAGAAAGAAAGTAAGCATACTTGCTTAGTCTGCAAACTATTACTAGAATGCTATTATATTGTACTTTAGTTAAGAGTTCTCGTAAGAAAGATAGCTTGATAATGAAGTCTAAACTAATGGATTGCTAAACAGTTGTAAGTATTAATAAGAAATGCAGTAGTTTGTAAGGCTTGTATCTTTCTGCCTTATTCTTTTTGCAGCTATTACATTATTATAGAATGTTCTCAATTCTTTTCCTAAAGCTTAATAAATCTCAGTATCTTCTAATGCATTCGTAGATTGCTCTAACTCTCTAATATTCATGCGCTAGCATATTATATATCTTCTTGATATAATTATCTTATTTGTTTGGAATTATCAATTCTGAATCTTTTTCCGAAGTGTTATAACCCATCCAACATGCAGGTTACAAAACAGGTCACGAGCAACAGGGACCAGGTATCATGATGCAACATCAGACAACCAACAAGGATTACATAACTCAGAGTTAGGATTACAGGCTGTAACTAATCAGAAGGGAACCGGAGCAGTCGACGATCGGTTCTCGCAGTTCAGGCAATGAACCGCGATAATCAACCACCAACTCTTGCAGTCCATACTGAAGAGCTGAATATATAAGAATGCATTCTTCGCCATTAGATAGATTCAGTATATAGCTCTTCAGTTATTAATCTAAATATTCAATCTCATATACTAAGTAGCTCCAAAAGCAATAAATACTTGCATTGCTTATTAAGACTTGTATAGTTCCATATTCAAGGACTTAATACTCCGATACCGCTCTTATTAGCATAAATCCTTTGTATACTTAAAAATCTTCGGATTGCTGCAGTGCTCATTACATTTTGACAACTCTTGTTCAAGAACGGTTCAGTATTATCCTCTTGAGCAATACGGAATATGATAGCTTCTCCAGGAACCTCTTCGTTCTCGCGCGCTCCTACTCAGGAAGAACTGATTAACTAGGTATACTAGCTTACTCAGCGTATTCAGGATCTGTGCGAATAATAGCAGGCTCAGAGCGCTACTATCGCTAGCTAATAAGCTTAGCTAGCTTAACAAGCTCAGCAGGCACAGTTCACCTCTGTAGCTACTAATGGTGCTGAGAAGGTATACAAGATGAACAAGCTTGCTATATACAACAGCAATCAGAAGATGCTGCACGGATTCCTTACTCACTGCAGAGCATACTTTTTATACTATGCAACTCAGTTTACTATAAAATCTAAGAAAGTAATTCTTGCAGGAATTCGTTTCAAGAAGAATGCTCTTATCTAGTATAAGCTTTCTCTATGCAATCACTTGGAGCATCAGAATAACTCTGATGCATATACTCAAAGTATTAAGAATATATTTAATTCCTTTGAAAGCTTCGAGAAAGCTTTTAAGGAAATTTTTAGTAATTCCAACAAAGAATGTACTACAGCTCAGCAGCTCATAAATCTCAAGCAAATCAAGTTAGCTTCTGCTTATATAGTTAGATTTAAGTAACTCTTAGCAAAACTTTCATAAGAAGATAAAAATCTCATGAAATATTACTATAAGGAACTTAAGAATGATATTAAGAATGAAATCTTTAAGCAGGATTAGCTGGAGAACTTTGCAATATTCTTAAATCAAGCAATCTGCATTAATAACTATCTGTATAAACAACAGATGGAGAAGTTCAAGAAAGAAAGCAGCTAGACTTAGAGATTTCCAGCTAATACAAATAAAAAACTCTAATACAAGAATAGCGGTTAACAGAGCAGTATAGCTCAGAGCAGCATTATATACGCTGATCTCATAAAACTTAATGCTACCAACAGGCAATACAGCAAAAAGAGCGATATTACTTGCTATAACTGCAACAAACAGGGATATATAGCATGCAATTGCTATTAACTCCGAAAGAACAAATAGCAACTAGTTTAGAAAGAATGCTAGATAAATATCGCTCAGCAACAGAAACTCAATCAACTAAGCAAAAACATCCCCTTGGAGCAAGTATCGAACTCTATTGATTATAGAAGTCTCAGCTAGATATTCTGCTATAATGATAACTGCTTAATACATCTCTCGAGTAAGGAAGGTTCAGAATGGTTTCCTCAGAAGCTTAGGCGCTATAAGCAGATAGCAACAGCAGAACGAAGATATACGCTCAGCGCAACCATGAGCAGCAACGACTCGAACTGCTCTAGCACTGAACAAAGCATTCAAGCGTTGAAAGAAAAGCTTAGCAACAACACCCTTCATCATTCCTCCTCGCTTACGCCAAACACTATAACCAGAGATATGAATAAGAAATGATATCTCCTTAGCTATTAATACAAATATCTAAACAACACCGAAAACGCTTCTCAAGCAACAGAAGGATCAGGCTAGAACGAACAATCTAACAATCTATTAGAATCTCCTGTAAACAATGAACTCAAGAAGCTTACAGAAAGGTTTCTCTTTAGCATTAGGTGAAATAAGGAAACAATATAAGTTGAATATCTCGTTTATAGAGTAGAGCTAGAGAAGCTCTTCATCTGCATCCCCTTGCAGAACATCGAGATATAATAAGACGAGAATCCTCGGATCAGCCTACTTCACAATCTACATTACGAGCTGGCATGGATCTCTTATACTTATTATAGCTGCAGAATGCATTTCTCGGAGAAGATGCAGCACGAATAGTTTCCCGTTAGAGAATCAGGATAAATCCTTCAGGCTGTTGAGGAGCAGGAACTTCGCTTCAGAGAAGTTCTCAATAGATAGCATTATAATGCATACATCGGACTACCAGATAACTGCTCTATGCAATGCGTGAACAATAAAACAGAATGGTAGCAGTGCAGAACGATACTCTGTATGATTCACATCAACGATAAAGTTCGCGACTGACATCAGAAAGACTAGGAACAACGACGATACGGGCAAAAGCAAGCTAAAAAGCTCGCTCAGGAAGCAGCGAAGCAGGCTCAGAAGGAGGACAGACAGTTCTCGATAACTTCAAAAGAACAGGATCGCCTGTAAAGGAACTGCAGACGATCAGACCGGAACGATCCCTATGTAAAGCTTTTAAAGCAGACTATACTCACATCAAGTTCGATATATATATTCAAGAACATAAGTACAGCGCACTATTAGATAGTAATGCTCAGGGAAACTTTATATTTCCATATATTATCAATTAAGCATGACTACAATGGAAATAGAAGAAGCACTTCTATACTCTCAGCACTATAAAAGAACAATCTGTTGCATACAATTAAGAAGTAATTGATAAAGAAACTAATCATCTATCTGTTTTAATCTAAGAATATATAATCAGAGCTTTCTTTAATATCACGGATATAGCATAGTATAAGCTGATTATGGGACTTCCATGGCTCAAAGAGCATAATCCTTGAATCGATTGAACTACTGGCCAGATCTCATGAGAATAAGCTATATCTAGAGAGATAGTTGCAATCAATGATGCAGGATCGAAGCTAGTTATTGAAGAATATTCGAGAAAAGAGACTTCATATAACTTTATATATACTTCCAAGTTAGCAGGGCTGGCAGTTTAAGGAAAATGTAATGAGCACTGCAGCAATCCGAAGATTCCAAAGTACACAAGGGGTTTATGCTAACAAGAGCGGTGCCAAGTATAGGCTTTGAATACGGAACACAACTGAGTAACTGTGCAAGTGTTCACTGCCTTTGGGGCTATCAGAGTAAGAGAGTAATCTGATACTTAGATTAACAACTGAAGAGCTATGTACGAGATCTATCTAATGGGAATGAATGTATTCTTATATATCCAGCTCTTTAGTTCTGTTGGTAGTGTTGGTTGTTGGATCTCTTGGATCATCTGGATGATCCGACTGATCCGGATTACTATGGATCAGCTACCGATCCATCCTGATCCTGTAATCTTAATCCTTGCTTATGTAAGCCTTAGTTCTTAAGATGTTGAATTCTTTTCTGTCTTTCCGAACAGTTATTCTGAGTATTTTAGCTGGTGATCTGCATGTTGGATGAGTTATAATATCATCTCTCTTCTATCGATTATTATTTCTAATGATCTTCTATAAGTATTCTAGCAAGTTATTTGTATACATGATTATGCTTTTCTAATCGAGATGTTGAACAGAATCAACAAATTGTATTTTAGTTGTTCGGTGAAAACTTAAGAGCATTATCGTCTTGCTGAGCTTATTTCTGCTTTTGGCATTAAAATGCCTGCTTGTGCTCATTGTTGGAAAATGAGAGCTTTCTATTGTTTTGCTGAAAACTCTTCTCGTTGTAAGAAGTGTGTTTCTCTGAATCAAAGCTGTGATACTGGTTGTTTCTCAGCCTCTGCTGGTTAGTTTCTTCGTTTCTTGGTATTCTCCGTAATTACTGATTTTCTTCTTCAGCAGGGCGTTTGATTCGTGAAAAGCGCAAGGTTTTAAGCGAGAAGGCTGAAGCAGAGTTAGCAAATGCTGCTGCTCTACAAGCCTTGCTAGCATTGCAGGCTTGTTTTGATTGTGCATGGAAACAGCGAAGGCTGTTGAAAGAATGTGCTGCAGAAATGATTCATTGTAGCTTCAATTCCTTGGAGGGATTTGCTGATGAGGAGGATTGCAGTCTTTGTAAAGAGGAGATTCATCTGATATCTCAGGGATATCTTGAGATTATTGACTGGAGTTCCTTGGATTTGGGAGGTTCTGTAGTAGATTGGTCAGGCTTTCTGGAGAGTGAGGTTCTCGAGGCTTCTGAGTCTCGGTTCGGGGCGGAGCGACTGTCTTAGGTACTGGTTTCCTTCCTTTTCCAATACTCAGCTACTCTTTCTTGAGCATTCTTGATATTTTTCTGTGATTCCTATGAATTTTTGCTCGCTGGGTAACTCTTTTATTTGATAAGGTATTCTCTTGTGCTGTTTATGCTTCTATGCTTGAGAATCTTCTTCATCTTATACTCTAGTTCATTGTTTTCTACTTCTGTTGTATTGTTCGCTAGTATTTTCTGTGCTACTGGTTCCAGCAGTAAGATATGGAAAACCGAGTATATTCTTATCCTATGAAATAATACTAACTCGTAATTGATTGGAGAAATCTACTGCAAGATTTTGAATGATTCTAACTTCTTATAGTTGAGTTTGTTGCTGAGTCTGATTGTTTTAATGTTTTTCTGAAGTAGGTAGATCTTATCTTCCTTTTGTAGGATTGGTTTCTTAATCCTCTTGGAGTTTGCATATTGTATCATTCGTTCCTGGATGAATTATAGTTCTGATTGGAGTTCCTTCTGAACTTTCTTGATCTTTCTAATCTTCTTATCTGCAGCTTCTATATTCGCTTCTAGCAGTGTTTTGTGATAAGCTGTTGGATTGTATCTGTAGAGTATGAAGAATAGTAATCTCTTTATTATGCTTATATTTGCGCTATTATAAGCGAACTGTATAAGAAGCAATAGATTAATCTAATTATTCTATTCTTAGTTAATATAGTATTGAAGATACTATTCAACAATCTGATTTATTCTTTCTATCTATTTATCTATTTGCGGATGAAATGCTATAGATATTCTGTAATATGTTCCAAGCTGTTTTATAAGCGAAGTTCAAAACTTTGAGTTGAACTTTCTATTTCTATCGAAGATTACTTCTTCCAGTATGCTATGATTAGCAATAATTGTTCTAAGGAATGCATATGCAAGTTCCTCTACTATACTGCTTTCCTTATAAGAGAGAAAATAAGCATACTTGCTCAGTTTGCAAATCACTACTAGAATGCTATTATATTGCATCTTAGTTAAGAGTTCTTGTAAGAGGGATAGCTTGGTAATGAAGTCTAGATTAATGGATTGCTAAACAGTTATAGATACTGATAAGAAATATAGTAATCTATAAAGCTTATATCTTTCTGCCTTATTCTTTTTGCAGCTATTGTATTGTTATAAGATATCCTCAATCCTTTTTCTAAAGCTTAATAGATTTCAGTATCTTTTAATGCATTCATAGATTGCTCTGATTCCCTGATATTCATGCGCTAGTGCGCTGTATATATTCTTGATATAATTGTTTTGTTTATTTAGAATTATTGATTCTGAATCTTTTTCCAAAGGTTCTATTCTAAGAGTAGCATTCAGTTCTCTGTATGCATTAACAAGATTCTCTGATTCATCTTGGGCGAAGATGTTCTATATGTTCGAAGAATCTGCATCTCGATAGTCTGATCTTCTGCTAAGAGCGTCTGCTCGTTCGTTTTCCAAGCTTTTGTAATATACAATCTTGAAGTTAAATTGTAAGAGGAATTCTGCCCATCTAACTTATTGCTTGTTCAAGACCTTAGTTATCATGAATGTAGTTAGATTCTTATAATCCGAATGAATCGTAATCGGATGCTATACGCTAATAAGATAGTATTGCTACTCCTCAAAGGCTTTCACTATTGCTATGAGTTTCTGATTAGGAATCCCGTAGTTGATTTCCGAGCTATTCAACTTCTTTGAGAAGTTGCTTACAATCCTTAGATGCTCTTGATCGTCTCGTTAGCTAAGTTATCCTCCAAGTGCATATTCTGATACATTAGTCTCAACTTCAAAGGATTTGTAAGAATCTGCTTCATACAGAACTAGCTCTGAGATAACGTGCTTAATAATCTCATTGAAAGCTCCTTATGCTTTGGAGGTTTATTCGAAGAGCTGCTCTCTTTTGATAAGATTTGTAAGAGGATATATGATTCAGCTGTAGTTTTTAATGAACTGCTTATAGAAATTAACGTATTTAAGAAAAGACTTAACATTTCTGATATTCCTGGGAATTGGCTAGTTTCTGATAGCTTTCATCTTATTCTTCTGTAGCTTAATGCATCCTAGCTTGATTGTGAATCTGAGATAGTTGACTTTTTGTATGTAAAAGTAGCTCTTTGCAGATTTCACAAGAAGTTTTGCATCTTGAAGCATTTGCAATACTGTTTCTACATACTTCTTGTATTCCTCCAGTATTCGAGAGTAAATAAGGATATTGTTGAGATAGATAATGATGAACTGATTCAGATGCTTGCATAGAATATAATTGATTATTTCCTAGAATAAAGCTAGAGCATTTATTAAACCGAAGAGCATAATCAAATATTCGTAGTGCTCATAGCATATTCTGAAAGCAGTTTTTCATTCTTCTCCTTTCTTTACTCTAATCAGATTATAAGCTCTCTTTAGATTCAGAACTGTGAATCATTATACTTCTTATAATCTATCTTGTAGTTTCTTGATGAGTAGTAACAAGTATCGGTTCTTGATTGTAATATCGTTGAATTGCTTATAATCAACATACAGCCTGAGCTTGCTGTTCTTCTTGGGTATAAACAGAATGAGATATCCTGCTAGTGAGTAGAATGATTATATATATTCCTTTTTGAGATTCTCATCGAGATACTCCCTAAGTATCTCTAATCATGCCTTGTCTAGCCTGTAGATAAGGAAGAATTTGAGCTGTTTTCCTTCTTGTAGCGGGATTTCGTAGTTGTATGAGCTATATTCGGATAATCCTGTATTCAATTCTTCTTGGAATAGTTTCTTAAACTTGTAGTATTCTCGTAGTATGTTCGCGAGTATTGGTTCTGGTTCTTGTGCTGTTTCTGCTATCTGGAGGAACAGTAGGTACTGTTGAGCGTGCTTCTTTTCTGATGGCGTTTTCGGGAGCTTTGAGCGTTCGCTCCGGGCCGAACCGAGCGCTCGAGAGCCTGTTTTCAAGGTTTTTCCCGTATGATTCTACAATCCACATTCTGAAGCTTTTCCTTGTTGCTCTGGGGCGGACTAACTTGCTGAGGATTTTGCTTCTATTATTTTGCTAATCTGTTAGCGCTCTAGCACTATCTGAATTCGCTTATCACTAGATCCTTCTCCTTAAACTGCTAGCTCTGCTAACTTGAAGATATGTATGAAGTCATCCAAAGCTTCTTTTCCCGAGTATTCTTTGATAACTAGCTTTGATTCTGCGCTATTAATTGCGACTATCTCCTTGGATACAGCTTGTTCTCATAAGATCTGGCTAGTAGTTCAATCGATTCGAGAATTATACTTCTTAAGCTATAAAAGCTTCATAATCAGCTTATGCTGTGCTATATTCATAATATCAAAGGAAGCTCTGATTATGCATTCTTGAATCAAAACAGATAGATAATCAGTTTTCTTATCAATTATTCCTTGATTATATACAACAGATTGTTCTTCTACAGTATTGAGAATGTATGAACATCTCTTTCATCTCTATTGTAGTTGTGCCTGATTAATGATATATGGAAATATAAAGTTTCTCTGAGCACTACTATTCAATAGTGCGCTATATTTGTATTCTTGAATATATATATCGAACTTGATATAAGCATAATTTGTTCTAGAAGCTTTATATAGAAATCATTCTGATTTAATCATCTGCAGTCCCTTTATAAGCGATCCTGTTCTTTTGAGTTTATTAAGAACTGTTTGTTCTTTTGAGCTTGCTTTGCTGCTTCTTAAGCGAGCCTCTTAGCTTGCTTTTGCCTGTATCATTATTATTCCTAATCTTTCTTCTATTAATGCTAGTTGCAAACCTTATCATTGATATGAATTATACAGAGCATTATTCTATACTGCTACCACTCTATCTTTTTATCTATACATTGCATGAAATAATTATCCAGTAGCTCGATATATGCATTGTAGTGTTGCCTGTTGAGAATCTCTCTGAAGCGGAATTTCTATTCTTCAACAGCTTAAAGGATTTATTCTAATTCTCTAACAGAGAACTATTCGTATTGTATCTTATTTGAGAAATGCATTCTGCAGCTATAATAAGTGCAGAAGATCCAAGCTAGTTCGTAATATAGATTGTGAAGTGAACTAATCCGAGGATCTTCATCTTGTTGTGCCTTGATATCTTGCAAGGGAATGCAGATGAAGAGCTTCTCTAGCTCTATCTTATAAACGAGATATTCAACTTATATTATTTCCTTGTTCCATCCAATGCTGAAGGGAAACCTTCCTTTAGGTTTGTTGAATACGTTGTTTACAGGAGACTTTGATGAATCGCTGGGTTGTTCGCTCTAGCTTAATCCTTCTGTTGCCTGAAAGGCGTTTTCAGTATTATTCATATATTTATACCAGTAATCAAGAGAGTATCACTCTTTATCCATATTCCTGATTATAGTGCTTAGCATAAGCAATGAAGAATATTGAAGAGTATTATTACTAAGCTCTTCTTTCAACGCTTAAATGCTTTATTCCGCAATATTAGAGCAGTCCGAGTTGCTACTCGTAGAGATGCTAAGCATGCACTCTCATTCTGCTGTTGCTATTTGTCTGCAGTGCTAAGATTTCTAAGGAAACCATCCTGAATCTTCCTTATTCGAGAGATATATTAAGCAGTTGTTATTATAGCAGAATATCCAGCTGAGACTTCTGTGATTAATAGAATCCAATACTTGCTCTGAGAGAGTATTTTTGCTCAGTTGATTGGATTTCTGTTGCTAAGCGATATTTACTTAGTATTCTTTCTGAACTAGTTGCTATTTGTTCTTTCGAAGCTAATAGCAATTGCATGCTATATATCCCTGTTTATTGCAATTATAGCAAGTAATGCTATTCTTCTTGCTATACTGCTTGTTAGCTATATCGAGCTCTATAGGACTAGCATATATGATGCTGCTCTAAGCTGTACTGCTATATCAACCGCTATTCTTGTTTTGAAGTTTCTTGCTTGTATTAGCTAAAAATCTCCAAATCTAGCTTTCTCCTTTCTTGGATTTCTTCACTCATTATTCATACAAATAGTTATTAATGCAGATAGCTTGATTAGAAAACATCGCGAAGTTCTCCAGCTAATTCTGCTTAGAGATTTCATCTTTAATATCGTTCTTGAGTCTCTTGTAATAGTATTTCATGAGATTCTTGTTCTCCTACAAAAGTCTTGCTGAAAGCTGCTTGAACCTGATTGTATAAACAGAAGCTGACTTAGTCTGTCTGAGATTCATAAGCTGCTAAGCTGTAATGCATTCTTCATTGGAATTACTAAAGATCTCTTTGAAAGCTTTTTCAAAGCTTTCAAAAGAATTAAACATATTCTTAGTATCCTGGGTTTATACATCGGGATTATTCTGATGCTCCAAGTGATTGTATAGAGAAGGCTTGTATCAGATGAGAGCATTCTTCTCGAGACAAGTTTCTGCAAGGATAACCTTCTCAGATTTCTTGATAAACTGAGTCTCGTGATGCAGGAAATATGCTCTGCAGTGGATGAGGAATCCATGCAGCGTCTTTTGATTGCTATCATACATAGCGAGCTTATTCATCTTGTATGCTTTTCCAGCGCTACTGGTGATTGCAGAGATAGATTGCGCCTGCTGAGCCTGTTGGGCTAGCTGAGTCTGTTGGTTGGCGATGGTAGCGCTCTGGGCCTGCTGTTGTTCGCGCAGGTTCTGGATATGCTGAATGAGCTGGTACATCTGGTTGACCAGTTCTTTCTGAGTAGGGGCGCGCGAGGACGAAGGGGTTTCTGGAGGAGCTATTGTGTTCCGTATTGCTTAAGAGGGTAATACTGAACCGTTCTTGAATAAGAGTTGTCAAAATGTAATGAGCACTGCAGCAATCCGAAGATTCCAAAGTACACAAGAGGTTTATGCTAACAAGAGCAGTGCTAAATACAGGCCTTGAATACGGAATACAACTGAGTAACTGTGCAAGTATTCACTGCTTTTAGAGTTATTAGAATAAGAGAATAATCTGATACTTAGATTAACAATTGAAGAGTTATATACGAGATCTATCTAATGGGAATGAACATATCCTTATATATCCAGCTCTTCAGTTCTGTTGGTAGTATTGGTTGTTGAATCCCTTGAATCATCTGGATGATCCAACTGATCCGGATTACCATGGATCAGCCACCGATCCATCCTGATCCTGTAATCTTAACCCTTGCTTATGTAAGCCTTAGTTCTTGAGATGTTGAATCCTTCCCTGTCTTTCCGGACAGTTGTTCCGGGTGTCTTAGCTGGTGACCTGCATGTTGGATGGGTCATAACAGAAAAGAATCTAGCGATAGGCGAACTCAAACAGTGTCAGAGTGCTAACAGGTTAGCAAAACAACGGAAGCGAGGCTCTCAGCAAGTCGGTCCGCCCCGGAGCAACAAAGAAAAGCTTTAGAAAGTGAATTGTGAATCCATACGAGAAAAACCTCGAAACCAAGCCTTCGAGCGCTCGGTCCAGCCCGGAGCGAACGCTCAAGGCTCCCAAAAACATTACCAAAAACAACGAATGAAAAGAAGCACGCTCAACAGTACCTACTGTTCCTTCAAATAGCAGAAACAGCATATAAATCGGAACCAATACTCGCAAGCATACTACGAGAATACTATAAGTTCAAAAAACTATTTCAGAAAGAACTGGATACAAGACTGCTAGAACACAGCTCATACGATTACAAGATTCCACTACAAGAAGGGAAGCAGCTCAAATTCTTCCCTATCTACAGACTAAACAAGGCACAATTAGAAGCACTCAAGGAATATCTTGATAAGAATCTCAAAAAGGGATATATACGATCATTGCAATTATCAGCAGAATATCCTATTCTGTTTATACTCAAAAAGAATAGCAAACTCAGATTATATATTGATTATAGATAACTTAATAATATTATAATCAAGAACTGATATCCGTTATTATTAATTAAGAAACTACAAGATAAGCTATAAAGAGCATAGTGGTTTATAGTTTTAAATCTAAAAGAAGCTTATAATCTGATCAGAATAAAGAAAGAAGAAGAATGGAAAACTGCTTTTAGAATATGCTACAAATACTATGAATATTTGATTATGCTCTTTGATTTAATGAATGCTCTAGCTTCATTCTAAGAAATGATTAATTATATTCTATGCAAGTATCTGAATCAGTTCATTATTGCCTATCTCGATAATATCCTTATTTACTCTTGAATACTGGAAGAGTATAAGAAATATGTGGAAATAGTATTGCAAATACTTCAAAATGCAAAACTCCTTATAGAATCTGCAAAGAATCACTTTTACATACGAAAGATTAATTATCTCGGATTTATAATTAAGCTAGAATGTATCAAGCTATAGAAAGATAAGATAGAAGCTATTAGAAACTAGCTAATTCTTAAGAATATTAGAAATATTAAATCTTTTCTCAAATATATTAACTTCTATAAGCAGTTTATTAGGAACTATAGCTGAATTGCACATTTTCTTACAAACCTTACTAAGAAAGAACAGCTCTTCAAATGAACTTTCAAGATGCAAGAAGCTTTCAATGAGATTATTAAGCATATCATCTTAGAGCTAATTCTGTATAAAGCAGATCTCTATAAACCTTTTGAAGTTGAGACTAATGCATCAGGATATATATTCGGAGAATAACTTGATTAGCAAGATAATCAAGAGTATCTAAGGATTATAAGCAACTTTTCGAAGAAGCTGAACAGCTCAGAAATCAACTACGAGATCTCTGATCAGGAACTTATAGCAATAGTAAAAGCTTTTGAGGAGTAGCAATACTGTCAGGGCCGATTGTGCCAGCAAGGCTCAGGGCCAGCTAAGCCAGCTGGATTACGGATGACTAAGCAATATGCGGCTATAAAGCGGCTTTCTAGCCACGTCAGCACTGCTGAGCAGAACTTAGCTCCTTAGGCCTCAATGTTATTCTGGTTGTATGCCCCTGAAAGAGAGAAAAGACCTCGCCACATTGCCTTTGCAACCTTTCCACCTGACAGTTTGAGGCCTGGCCCTTTTAAAGGAGGCAATCCAGCGAGGCTTTCTATCTTTTTTTTCTTCCCTAGGAGCAGCGCTAACACTGAGCAGGAGCAGAGCAAACGATCAGACCACTATTCTTTTCGAACCTTCGAGCCTTTGACCTTCGAGCCTTTAACCTTCGAGCCTTTAACCTTCGAGCCTTCGATTTTCGAGCTTTCGAGCCTTGAATACAGCGAGCAAGCAGTATTGAGCAAGCAGTATGCAAGCAGCGTGCGAGAAGCGTTCAGAAGAGATTCAGAGCATTCGAGTCGCTAAGCTAAAGCAAACAGCGAGCAAGCAGTATACAAGCAGCGTGCGAGAAGCGTTCAGAAGAGATTCAGAGCATTCGAGTCGCTAAGCTAGAGCAAACAGCGAGCAAGCAGTATGCAAGCAGCGTGCGAGAAGCGTTCAGAAGAGATTCAGAGCATTCGAGTTGCTAAGCTAGAGCAAACAGCGAGCAAGCAGTATGCAAGCAGCGTGCGAGAAGCGTTCAGAAGAGATTCAGAGCATTCGAGTTGCTAAGCTAGAGCAAACAGCGAGCAAGCAGTATGCAAGCAGCGTGCAAGAAGCGTTCAGAAGAGATTCAGAGCATTCGAGTCGCTAAGCTAGAGCAAACAGCGAGCAAGCAGTGTGCAAGCAGCGTGCGAGAAGCGTTCAGAAGAGATTCAGAGCATTCGAGTTGCTAAGCTAGAGCAAACAGCGAGCAAGCAGTATGCAAGCAGCGTACAAGAAGCATTCAGAAGAGATTCAGAGCATTCGAGTTGCTAAGCTAGAACAAAGTATGCTCTTCGCTATTCGAGCGAGAGAGCAGAGTGAGCAAGCAGTAGATCTGAGTATCTTCTGTTTTCAAGAGTGTATTCTTTGCTATTCGAGCGAGAGAGCAGAGTGAGCAAGCAGTAGATCTGAGTATCTTCTGTTTTCGAGAGTGTGTTCTTCGCTATTCGAGCGAGAGAGCAGAGTGAGCAAGCAGTAGATCTGAGTATCTTCTGTTTTCGAGAGTGTATTCTTCGCTATTCGAGCGAGAGAGCAGAGTGAGCAAGCAGTAGATCTGAGTATCTTCTGTTTTCGAGAGTGTGTTCTTCGCTATTCGAGCGAGAGAGCAGAGTAAGCAAGCAGTAGATCTGAGTATCTTCTGTTTTCGAGAGTATGCTCTTTGCTATTCAAGCGAGAGCGCAGAGCTGAAGCGGAGTGTCTGCTTGGCAACTGAAGTTGCTTGGATATTAGGTTGCAAACTAATTACCCTTCTGCACCTAGCGGTGGAGCGAAGCGTGGCAACAGCTTCAGAGTTGCTAGAGAGCAACTCTCAAGACGGAAAGCTGTAATTATCCGTTATAGCTGCAGGGACGCTATCCTGAATGCTGGGCTCCTTAGCTGCAAACCAAGTCCCTGGTGGAAAGCTTGCAATCTATATCAAACAGCTTTAAGTTCTGAAGAGTGCCTGGATAAAGCGCTGAGAGAGCAGCGACTGAGCAGCGTATATAGCGCGGGTATTGCACTCGGAAGACTTACGTCTGGAATGTGATTAAAAAGAGATTTTTTTTTTCACAGGCTTCGGGGACGAAGCTAGAAGAGAAGGAGGGAGATGGTGGAGAGGCCTGAGGCACTGAGAGACCTTGAGAGGCCTTGAGGAACCTGAGGCACTGAGAGATCTTGAGAAGCCTTGAGAAGCCTGAGGCACTGAGAGACCTTGAGAGGCCTTGAGAAGCCTGAAGCACTGAGAGATCTTGAGAGGCCTTGAGGAACCTGAGGCACTGAGAGATCTTGAGAGGCCTTGAGAGGCCTGAGGCACTGAGAGACCTTGAGAGGCCTTGAGAAGCCTGAGGCACTGAGAGATCTTGAGAAGCTTTGAGAAACCTGAGGCACTGAGGGATCTTGAGAAGCTTTGAGAAGCCTGAAGCACTGAGAGATCTTAAGAGCCTGAAGCATTGAGAAGGCGTAGGAGCAGCTAGGAAGCAGCGAAAGCCTGGAAGCAACGGAAGCTTGGGAGCAACGGAAGCTTGGGAGCAACGGAAGCCTGGAAGCAACGAAAGCTCGGAAGCCTCAAAGGCCTTGAGGACAAGGCCTGATAAGGGGGGACAATCTGTCAGAGCCGATTGTGCCAGCAAGGCTCAGGGCCAGCTAAGCCAGCTGGATTACGGATGACTAAGCAATATGCGGCTATAAAGCGGCTTTCTAGCCACGTCAGCACTGCTGAGCAGAACTTAGCTCCTTAGGCCTCAATGTTATTCTGGTTGTATGCCCCTGAAAGAGAGAAAAGACCTCGCCACATTGCCTTTGCAACCTTTCCACCTGACAAATACTATCTTATTAGCACACAGCATTTAATTATAATCTACTCAGATTACAAGAATCTAATCACGTTTATAACAATTAAAGTTCTGAACAAGCAATAAGTTAGATGAGCAGAATTTCTTTTATAATTCGATTTCAGAATTATATACTGCAAAAGCTCAGAAAACGGACGAGCAGATGCTCTTAGCAGATGATTAAATCATCGAAATGCAGATTTCTCAAACATGCAGAATATCTTTGTCCAAAACGAGTCAGGAAATCTCATCAATTGTAATGAGCACTGCAGCAATCCGAAGATTCCTAAGTACACGAAGGGGTTTATGCTAATAAGAGCGATGTCGAAGTGTTAAGTTCTTGAATACGGAACTGTACAAGTCTTAATAAGCGATGCAAGTATTCACTGCTTTTGAAGCTACTCAGTGTATAAGACTGAATACTTAGATTGACAACTGAAGAGCTATATACCGAATCTATCTAATGATAATGAACGTTTGCTTATATATCCAGCTCTTCAGTGTGGCTCGTTGGGATTGCTGGCGAGCCCAGCAATCCTCCCTCCTTTACAACTCTAATCCTGAGTTATATAATCAATGTTTCGTTAGAGCGTTGGATTCTTGATATCTGGTTCTTGTTACTTGTAACCTATTTTGTGATCTGCATGTTGGATGAATCATAACATCATCTCCCTTCTATCAGTTGTTGTTCTTAACAGTCTTCTGTAAGTATTCTAGCAAGTTTTCGTATTTATAATCCTGCCTTCCTAATCGAGATGTTAAACAGGATTAACAAAGTTGCAAAACTGAAATCTTCAAATCCTCATTTCAACAAAAAGAGATAGAAAGACTTCCTTCTTCAATCCATTCTCTTAAACAGTTTTAATATGCATTCCTATTCTTATTGCAATAATCAAAGCCTGTAATCGTATATCGTTTCTTCTTATGATTCGTTCCGTTGCTCGGAATGCATTTCCCAGAATCGTGCTAAGTGCAACGTTCTGGAACCGATGAATGCTGCTAAACTCTTTTTTACCTCTACTCAACATTGAAAGCTGAAGAATGAGATAGAAGAGTTGGAGTTAAAATTGCTTCGATTGCATTAATAAAAGAAGATGTGGTATGAAAGGATGTTTCGAGCTATTCGTTGAAGCCTTACGAATCTCGAAGAGCTTGAGAAAGAGGAAGCTGAGAAGGCTGAGGCTGAGAGGGTGCGTATTGCTGCTGAAGTGCAGGCTGTAGTAGCTGAGAAGTCTGCTGTTGCAGCTGAGGATTCTTCTTTTGAGAGTTTTGATTGGAATTCTGTGAACTTGGAGAATTCCGTGATTGACTGGTTGAGTTTCCTGGAGAATGAGATCTCCGAAGCTCCTGGATCTCGGTTCGGGGCGGAGCAATCATCCTAAGCGCTAGCTTTCCTTTTCCAATCTTCAGCTATCTTTTCTTAAGCGTTTTTAACATTCTTTTGTGATTTCCACGAGTTTTCGCTTGCTGAGTAACTTTTCCACTTGATAAGGTATTTCCTTATACTATCTGTGCTTCTATACTTGAGGATTTTTTCTATCTTATATTCTGGCTCATTGTTCTCTACTTCTGCTGTATTATCCGTAAGTATTTCCTGTGCTGCTAGTTCCAACAGTGAAATATGGAAAACCGGATATATCCTTATCTCATAAGATAATGCTAATTCGTAGTTGATTAAGAAGATCTGTTGCAAGATCTTGAATAGTTCCAATTTCTTATAATCGAGTTTGTTGCTAGATCTGATTATTTTAATGTTTTTTCGAAGTAGATAGATCTTATCTCCCTTCTATAGAATTGGTTCTCTAATCCTTTTGGAGTTTGTATATTGCATTATTCGTTTCTGAACGAATTATAGTTCTAACTGAAATTCTTCCTAAGCCTTCTTAATTTTCTTAATTCTTTTGTCTGCAGCTTCTGCATCTGCTTCTAGCAGTATCTCGTAGTAAGCTATTGGATTGTATCTGTAGAGTACAAAGAATAGTGATTTCTTTGTTATACTTATATCTGCGCTATTATAAGCAAACTATATAAGAAGCAACAGATCAACTTAGTTATTCTGTTTCTAATTAATATAGTATTGAAGATACTATTCGATAATCTGATTTATTCTTTCTATCTATTCATCTATTTGCAGATAAAATGCTATAGATATTCTATAGTATATTCCGAGCTATTTTATAAGTAAAGTTCAAAACTTCGAGTTAAACTTTCTATTCTTATTGAAAATCACTTCTTCTAATATGCTATGATTAGCAATAATCATTCTGAGAAATGTATATGCAAGTTCTTCTGCTATACTGCTTTCCTTGTAGGGAAGAAAATAAGCATACTTGCTCAGTTTGCAAACCATTACTAGAATGCTATTATATTGCATTCTAATTAAGAATTCTCATAAGAGAGATAGCTTAATAATGAAGTTTAGACTAATGGATTGCTAAATAGTTGTAAATACTAGTAAGAGATATAGTAGTTTGTAAGGCTTGTATCTTTCTGCTTTATTCTTCTTGCAGCTATTGCATTGTTATAGGATATTTCTAATTCTTTTCCTAAAGCTTGGTAGATTTCAGTATTTTTTGATATATTCGTAGGTTGCTCTGACTCTCTGATATCTGTATGCTAATGCACTATATATCTTCTTAATATAGTTATCTTGTTTATTTGGAGTTATTAATTCTGAATTCTTTTCTGAGAATCCGATTCTGAAGATAGCATTCAGCTTTCTATATGCATTAACAAGATTTCCTGACTCATCTTGAGTAAAGATGTTCTATATATCCAAGGAATTTGTATCTTAATAATCTAACTATTTGCTAAGAGCATCTGCTTATCCATTTTCCAAGCCTTTGCAGTATACAATCTTGAAATCAAACTATAAGAGGAATTCTGCTCATCTAACTTATTGCTTGTTCAAGACTTTGATCATCATGAATATAGTTAGATTCTTGTAATCCGAGTGAACTATGATCGGATACTGTGCACTGATGAAATAGTATTGCTATTCTTCAAAGGCTTTCACTATTGCTATAAGCTTCTGATCAGGGATTCTGTAGTTGATTTCTGAGCTGTTCAGTTTCTTCGAAAAGTTGCTTACAATCCTTAGATGCTCTTGATCATCTCGCTAATCAAGTTGTTCTCCAAGTGCATATCCCGATGCATCGGTTTCAACTTCAAAAGATTTATAGGAGTCTGCTTCATACAGAATCAGCTCTGAGATGATATGCTTGATGATTTCATTAAAGGCTTCTTGTGCCTTGAGGATTTATTTGAAAGGTTGATTCTTTTTGGTAAGATTTGTAAGAGGGTATGCGATCCAGCTGTAGTTCTTAATGAACTGCTTATAGAAGTTGATATATCCGAGGAAAAACCTAATATCCCTGATGTTTCTGAGAATTGGCTAATTTCTGATAGCTTCTACTTTATCTTTCTGTAGCTTGATGCATTCTAGCTCGATTATAAATCTGAGGTAGTTGATTTTTTGTATGTAAAAGTAACTCTTTGCAGGTTTTACAAGAAGTTTTGCATCTTGGAGCGTTTACAATACTATCTTCATATGTTTCTTATATTTTTCCAGTATTCGAGAGAAAATGAGGATGTTATTGAGATATGCAATGACGAACTGATCCAGATGCTTGCATAGAATGTAATTGATCATTTCCTGAAACGAAGCTAGGTGTCAGGGTAAAAAGGGCACACAAGTGAGGTGAAGGGGTGTGAGCTGCTCCCAAGCCGCTCTGTTGATGCTTCCATTCAAAGGGACTACTGAACCTATCTCCCTCCTCCTCTTTTTCGCTGCTGGACCTGTTGTTCCCCTTTCCCTTATGTACACAATTGGCCTGGACTAGATGGGATGACAATGGCCTGATGGCCACGCGGCATCGTACGAGAGCGCTGCTTCGGAGCGAAGCCCTCGCAGCAGCCCTGGACCGCCACCAGGGGTCGCAAGGGCCACCTATTTCCTTTGTGCGCATACAAGCCCTGACACTTTTTCTAGCATGCTATAATTAGCAATAATTATTCTGAGAAATGTATATACGAGTTCTTCTGCTATACTGCTTTTCTTGTAAAGAAGAAAGTAAGTATACTTGCTTAATCTGCAAATTATTATTAAAATGCTATTATATTGCATCTTAGTTAAGAATTCTTATAAGAGAAATAGCTTGATAATAAAGTTTAAACTAATGAATTGCTAAATAATTATAAGTATTAGTAAGGAATATAATAGTTTATAAAGCTTATATCTTTCTGCTTTATTTTTCTTGCAGCTATTATATTATTATAAGATATTCTTAATTCTTTTTCTTAAGCTTAATAGATTTCAGTATCTTCTAATGTGTCAGGGCCGATTGTGCCAGCAAGGCTCAGGGCCAGCTAAGCCAGCTGGATTACGGATGACTAAGCAATATGCGGCTATAAAGCGGCTTTCTAGCCACGTCAGCACTGCTGAGCAGAACTTAGCTCCTTAGGCCTCAATGTTATTCTGGTTGTATGCCCCTGAAAGAGAGAAAGACCTCGCCACATTGCCTTTGCAACCTTTCCACCTGACATAATGCATTTATAAATTGCTCTAACTCTCTAGTATTCATACGCTAGTATTGAACCAGAACTAGGGCGCCGTCGCTCTCGAAAGAAAAAAAAAAAGGGACAAACAGCTGCCGAAGCAATGAGCAAGGGCTCGTGCAACCCAAGCGTGCCTGTACAGATGAGAACAGCAAACTAAGGCCTCACGGGCACAAGAACAGGATGAAAAACCTGTCTTAGACCTGTCCAAAGGGTTCAAAATTGAAAAGAAGAGAAAGGATGCTTGATTGTTGCTTATAGCTAAAGAATTTGAAAAGTGAATGGTGTTCTTTATATGTATAAGAACCCTTGACCCACTGTACTCCACGTCCCACGGACTACCACCCTAGCTACTACAACAGTCCTCCCCCAGCAACTTTC